TTCTACTTTAAGTAATAATAGTCTGTAGTTGGATTTTTCCCTTGATATGATCAACTAGTAACTTCTTATTCCTTATTGTTTTTAATTTTTTCCATACAGACACAAGATAAACAAGAGTAAGTGAAAATTTTATTCCAGGATGTGAGTACCAATCATCCAATATGGAAGGAAAATCAATTTTTTGTCGATATTTGTTTATAAATATTATTATATCCTTTAATTCCTAGAGAAACATAGGGCTTCAGCTGCGCATCTCCATTGCCTTCGATTTTCTGACAACTTTTTCACCCCTCTCCAAGTCTGTCCACATGCTTTCATCCTCCCCCAAGTCACCCTTGGACGACCAACTCGCCGCTTACCTTTCGGGTTCCACTCCAGCGATGGCTTGTCTAGTGATGTCACTTGATGGTTTGTTTCCTTAGAGTATGGCCAATCCATCTCCATTTCTTCCTGCCTATTTGTTGCACAATAGGTTCCCGGTTGGTTCTCTCATTGCCACAGATCTCTGTTGCTGCTGATCTTTTCTGGCCGGCCATCTGATATTGAGTATTGAGCGAAAACAAGTGTTAATGAAGGTCTGAAGTTTCTTCGAGATGCTCTTTATGACGCGCTGGCCAAGTCTCTGATCCGTATAGTAAATGACACTGACTTCACATTGGAGTTGAAAATCCGGATGTTATTTTTGATGCTGAGTGCTGTTGACCTACACACAGATTTGAGAGTAATGAAAGCTTGTCTTGCCTTTCCGATTCTGGCTTTGATATCTTCATCAGTTCCGTCCGCCTGTAGTTCAAACGATGCTTCCCGGGTAGGTGGATAGGTAAAGGAGGTTGTTTCTTTCACGTTCCTCCCATTTATGCTGGCTGATTGTTGTCTGTTGTTGTTGTTGCTGTTGGTGTTGGCCAGGAATCTTCATCACCTCTGTTTTATCTATGTTCACTTGAAGTCCTATCTTCTCTGGATGCTTCTTCTTCCAGCTTGTTGCTTTTCACTTGCATATCTTCCAGTTTGTGGGAAATCAGACATATATCATCGGCGAAGTCCAGATCCTCCAAGTTCTTGTTTTGTGTGAGTCCATTTTATGCCTGTTTCTTCATTGCCTGTTGTCTGTCTCATTATCCAATCTACTGCAATCAGGAAGATCATTGATAATTAAATTTCATTGAATTCAACAGTGAAGAATTAGAATTGTTTATTAGATGTATCACTGTGTGATACATCTAATAAACGAGCTAATATGGAATTATTACTACCACAGTGGCCAAGATTTACACATGTATTAATTAAGAAGAGCAAGTAGTTCAACAAAGGGTCTTTTTGATGAGTTCATTTACATAGCTATACATTCATCTTCCTATGCAAGTTTTAGTATGAATTTACAATAGAGTAAACGACATAGTTAGTTAGCTGTGGCAACGAAGACAAAAATCAAGATATCATTCTCATCACCAATGAATCAAAATGTATATAGTACAGACTAATTAAAATAAAACAGAAATTGTATGAAAATTAGTAGGTTTGCAGCAATAGTTTGAGCTTGATAGAATCTAATCTGTACCAGATGAAGAATTACACGCATAAAATAAGTCACCACCTAGTGTCCAAGCAAAGTACCCATTGGAAACATTTATTTCCCGATACGAATTTAAAACAAGTAATAAAGGCTAATAAAGCAGGATTTAATGAATTCATCAAATTTCGGTAGAACTCGTCAGCTGAATACTCTGCATACACGGATGTATATACTTTTTAAATTACACTGGGAGATATAAGACTGATAAATTGAATTAGCCATGCAGAAAGACAGGTGCGAATGTTTTCCAGGTCATGTTCAAATAGATAAGGGGAGAGAGAGTATGAGAGATCAAAATTAAGATAAATTGCATTACGCTTCAATTACATCACTTAGATAAACAATCAGTCATTAGAGGATATAACAAGAATTGCAGATTCGAATTGCACAAAACCAGGTCTCTGTGTACAAAAGGAGATAGTCGTGGTTCTGAATCCACCATGGTAATACGTTTTGCTTGTTATTCTTTACTTATTATTATTCTACCTCTTTTTATTATCATTATTATTATTATTCTTGATTCATTTAAATTTATCCTTTATCAGTAGGATTACCTTAACCCACTTCAACACTATTATTATTGTTATTATAACTATTACTATTAATATTAATCTGTTTGAAATTTTTGTTATATTCTCTAATGACTGATTATTTATCTAAGTGATGTAATTGAAGCGTAATGCAATTTATCTTAATTTTGATCTCTCATACTCTCTCTCCCCTTATCTATTTGAACATGACCTGGAAAACATTCACACCTGTCTTTCTGCATGGCTAATTCAATTTATCAGTCTTATATCTCCCAATGTAATTTAAAAAGTATATACATCCGTGTATGCAGAGTATTCAGCTGACGAGTTCTACCGAAATTTGATGAATTCATTAAATCCTGCTTTATTAACCTTTATTGTTTGTTTTAAAAGTATCCATTACAGTCTTACAGAAAGTCAACAGCGAGTCTGAAGAGCTCAATGGTAACGTCTCTAACTGCAGTGCTGGGTGATGCGGTTTGAGTCTCAGAATGGACGTGACTTCCATCAAAAAAGCAGATACTCCTAGCAGACGAGTGCCAAGAAGCGCGAAACCTAGGCCTAAGGCTTCTTGATGATTGCCTCCAATCATCTAATAACAACAGTTCTACGTGTACCGTGATGGTTAACCATCTATAATGTTGGTCATATTGCAGACCTGACTGAACAGAATTTAGTCTGCACCAAACGAGGGACTAGACTCATGACATTACTTACTACTTAATGTCCAAAAAGATTGATATTAAATCGTTTGCAAATTGAGATGTAATCAGTAAAAGCAAGAATAAATATAATTTGGTATCACGTAAGCGAAAACTAAAATGAAATCAAGGTTAACAATCACAGACTGGTCAGAATGGCTAAACAAAAACACTGGAAAAGAAACGAAATCCGAATCTGGGAATAAAAATGTTGTACGCAACATTTCAGGCTTTTTCACTTTAATTCACATACCTGTTTGCAATTTACAATACTTGAAATTGTGAGAATAGCAAGACAGATCAACGTTGAAACCACCAATGCGATTACCACATTTTCTTTCAGTCTTTTCGTTAGATAGCAAAAAATACTTGTCAATATATCTTCCAAAAGTGTCAAGCACATTAAAAACCAACAGGATATTTCAGATTCTTTGCAAACCACCAAACAGATATCTGATGAAAATAGCATCAGCTGTTTGCAGAATAAATTTAAAATTTAAAAAGGGCATTAAATCAATTTGTTATATATGTCCAAACGAAGTTCACTGTTAACAGTTTGAAAAAAATTGGGCATTGGGTATATGATATTCATTATAATAAAGGTTTTTGTATTTCCCAATGAATGAAAAACAAAACGATATTGTTTTTACTAACGTTTCGCTATTTAATGCTAATAGCTTTCTCAAAGTATTATTAAACCGGAATTTACAAAATCTCAGCATACATATAACAAAGAGTTAAGAGGTGAGGTCAAGTTAAAAGGACAGAATGAAAGTCAAAATAACAATGGAGATCAAAGGTAATAGTACATCAGTTATGATATCAAAATAAAGTTTATTAACTTGATCATCGTTCGTCTGTTTGGGGTCATTTTTCTTTGTCAAGTGGGTCAATTGATAAAGACAACGAAATTAAGTGTAGATGGTTGGATTTGATCAGTGTGTAAAATTATAAAAGAAGTGTGTATTCACATAAAGAATTTGCTTATCATATTCGTGTTGATTTTGTCACTTCATGGGGGAGAGAGGTGTTGTAACCAGGTCAGATTCTGTTTTAGTCTATCATTCCTATTCAGGCAATTTGGATTCCACTTGATATGAAGTGTTTCTGATATTAGACGTTCTCTGTGATTTCTGAAGTTTTTCTGGATTATTTCAATATAGTCAAAATCAATTTTGTGGCCTGATTCTATAGACCTATGGCTGATGATTTTTCAAGTTTTCGTAGTTCAACCGGATTTCTCGGTGGTCGAACAGATGCCCTGCGGTGTTCATTTCTTCTGATTTTGATTTTTCAAGATGTTTGTCCTATGTATATCGTATCACATTCTAAGCATTTTTAAAAATCAGTTATTAAGAAATGTTCTATGTTAAGCAATATATTTAGATATTTTAAAATGTTAAGTTTATTCAGGGAAAAGATTATAGGACTTATCTGACTGGTATGGCTGAACTATGGACTCTGTGGATAAGTATGTTGCCAATTCAAGGGAGAAGCGCGAAATTGAGTCTCTGCTCGGTCTCATGTATTCTCGTAAAAAGAAAACTTAAGTATCTGTAGCCAGGATAGACGTTTATGCAGTTAACATTAGGCTGATTCAATTTGATTAATTAATTAATTTTAGTCCTAGGCTTATTTTGATGTCTTGGAAGTTGAACTACAGCCTCCTCATCATCTGATTTCAAAGTGGCTGGCGAATTTATTGCAGCCCGTAATAAAAGCTTCCCTGGACGTTTTATCTCTCTGTGCCAGCATTATTACTAATCTAGTCCATATAAATCAAGTTTGGATAATTTACATCCATGCAACCTTCATGATTAGTATTCATCAATTTATAGATGTAGATAAACAGTAGTTTCTCTTCTCTCATCTATGTGTATTTTCAAATGAAAAGCAAAATGTAAGAAGTAATCCCTAGTTCTTAGTCTATAGGAAATCAAAATGTATTTTGTGTTTACTGACCGAAATAAAAACAACTTCGGGTTGAAGGACAACAGATACTTTTAGTTTTTTAAACCCTCATGAAGTAATTAAGTCTTTTTGAAAAAATATGTGCAGTTGAATACCTGCTCAGTATTCTTTCAGGTTATTATTCATTCGTTCACCTCTACATTATGTGAATTCCGAGGGAATTCTTTATAAACCTACAATTCTGACAGATCATGAGTTCTCCGCTGGAAAATATGCAGACAGAATAAGAAATGCTAAGAAGGATGGAGGTAATTAAAACTTTCGCCTGTTTCATTTACACCTTAGTATTTGCTTTATATGTAAAACCTTTTTTTGGAGTTTCTAAATTCTTTCTCGTAGCTGTGTACTCAAATAGGGATACGTTTTATTGATTCAAGACTGATAAAATTGTAATGTCCGAAGATTATTTTAGTGTTACGTTTATGCGTATAATCATACACATACATTTTCTATTGAATTGTGACCTGATATTAATTAATTGGCATGCACCTCTGAAGCATAAGACTCGTGTACGGTTTGATCGTAGTGATTCAGTGTTTAAAAACCATTGATGTTGATAATAACATTTATTTATCGGCTATTTTGGATAAAGGGTTGTAGGACTTTAAGAAGAGGTTGGTAGAAGAAATAACCTTTGTTCAGTCATCAGAGTTTTAATTCATTTCCCTGAAATCGAAATTGAATAAAAACTTAGCTGATGTGCAGTGCCGGCAATACATTTCCATGTATTGTTCATAAATTATTACTGAGTATAATACATAATCAGAAAACTTGATATGAATAGGAATGGTTCAGCAAACGAAGATTAAAAATTTAACCGCAGTTTAGTCTGACGTTGCACTCTTGTAACGACAGAAGACAAGGGCCAGGCAACAGATCTCTTATTGAGAAAATAAAGACATCTTTATGTATTTTTATGTACATTCTTATTCGTTATTGTTAGCAGAAAAGCAATGTCCTCTAACAGGTTGTTTTCCTGCTGAACGTTATTCTGTCATCTCTTTGTTGGCGTTTCTTAGACAGCCCGGTAATGTATCTGCGAATCGTATCCACAATGCTAAATCTGCTGTGATTGGTTGTTGAATTCCTCAGGGTTAGGATTTGTTCTTGTCTCTTCTCATGACCCAGATTTGGGAAGTAAAAACTGACGTCAATTGTTGTCTATAATTTTGTCTTGCAGACAGCTCTCACCACACCCTTAATGATATACATCTCAGTGCTTTAAATAAACATTCTTTAAGAAGGTAGAATTGGAATTCGGTAAAATTTCTTTGTATCGCCATGTGACAGTTTCTGTTTCTTTTCATGTGGAAGTAATTGAAGTAAAAGTTACTGAGGCAGTATTCACATAGAATCATCCCTTCCGTTTCAAGTTTCCTCTATTTTTTGTAATATCGTTTGAATGAATTGAGTGATCTGACTGAATAAACCTTCTGTCAGCATATCTTTTCTTAGGAATTATATCAGGAGAAATCAAGAAGGATAAAAACAGCCTAGCTCTCTTGTTTAAATTTCAACTATGAATCTTTCTAAAAGTTCTCTCTTATGAGACAACTAAACTGAAATTCGGATACCGAGTCAGAATTCGATGATTCACCATATAAAGTCACCGTCATTCGCTTTCATCAGCGAGTAAATGACTTACAAGTATTTACATCTGAATTGTTGAACCTGGATGTTTAGAATCACTAGTTTGGAATTCACAAATTAACAAAGTTCGAAAAACACAATACTGATTTCTGAGCTATTAGTTTACCTTGAAACTTGACCATTGCTAGTCTCATTCATTTTATATGTGGGCATGTATCCTCCCTGCTGAAGAGCTCCCAGAATTTATGTGAAGGTTATTTTCTGTTTTCATTAATTTTTTGGCTAGATTCACTCACTGTCTCGTTATTATCTAAAGACAAATTAAACTTCATTTCACTGATAACCAGAAGCACTTTGTATTCTACAGCTGGTTGTCATTTAAATTCAAAAAATTACTTTGAAAATTACACGTGCATCATTTTGTATTAGGTAAAGCGTAATAATACCCACAAGATTATACTGAACTGTATTTTAGTAACCAATGCTATTGAAGGTATCACTAGAATACATCCTCATTTATATCAACTTATTATGAATGAAGTTTCAATATCGGTAATAAAGACCTATTTCTTAATCATACAACGTTAGTATGTCTATCCCTAGAATGATGCAAATGATCTTTTGGTAAATGGAATGTTTTTGCTTTAGGTAACAAGACCCTTCTGGCTTGAAGCACCTACTTCCATGATGGTATCAAAGAATTCCTCACTGAGCTCATCAGGTCACAGCTAACTTCCTATAACACTACTGAAGTTATTCCGAATGGCTACGAATGGTTAAACAGCTGAACTATAAGGTCTTGTCGAAGTCATTTAAGCAGCGTGTAACATAACACTACAATGTAGTATACTCATTGTGAAATCATCCCATGAACAGATCCATGCTATGACTACACTGTACACTCGACTGGCGGATACCTTTGTAAGCAGCTAGTCTAAATATCACTCAACGATGAATTTGTACACAAAATCCAGCCGTACATATTGGGCATAAAGGCAGTTCATCTTTAGCAAGTTAAATGCTTAATAATTCACATTTATTGATTTTCAGACGAAAAAGTTAAGGTGTTAAAGGAGACTTTAACAAGTAGGACAAACCGTGAACGTCAAAAGATCATGGAAGTATACCTCAATAAATTCAAAAAGGTATGTTGATCTATCACAAGTTATTTATTTTCTTTCAAACTTTTCTACAAGATATACGTATATATAATGCTTGTTTGTTGTTAGTTTCTTTGATCTATATGGATAAATTCACTGCATTCCAGTATTTTCGTTTACCGTTATTCATCTGATCACCTTTGAAGTGAAATGACCTTTAAAGTGTTATTCAGTATTATTTATTATTTGTTGAAGTCGACACTAGATTAAAAGCAACCGTAAGTGAAATCATTTCCGATAAAGATTAAACTCTACTTTCTGTATGCCATTTTGGTTACTAGGCCAATATAATTCAACTACCATTTCTATAAATTCAATGTGTCCTGATTTATTACATGTAGAAATATGTATGTAGTAACTAATCTACTTTTTTAAGTTGTCACTTCAATGATTTGTGGGAATTGTGCGTACTACGTCAGCATAAATGAAGTAAATTGACAAGGTCATGGCCAGTGGTATATAAGCACAAATATATACTAGTGTTTATTTACGCTAGTCCAAGCTTAATGTGTCCTGTGAGGGATGGAACAGAGCGGATAAGCAAACGTAGTCGGTTCGATTTACTTTCAATCATGATAAGAAACCAGCTCTTAGTTTTAATCTCAAACAATGGCAGAACGGTTAGGCAGTTTACTCATTGAATAAGGTTACTATATTAGAAAAGTATACCTTATTTAGCTGAATCATTACAGGTTCACCATAAACCTTGACTACCAACATAAAAACTGGGAACTTCAAGCTAAAATCACCTTAATAGTAGTATCCAGTGGCATTAACTGATCTACACACTGCAAAATGGGAAAAACATGCAAAAAATGTTTAAAATTCAATGGAAATCTAATTCACGAAAACATATAACCAGCCGACGCAGGAACCCATCACGACCTTGAAACTGACTGTAGCCTCTTTCCATTTGTCCGTTTTCTGTTCTAGTCATTAGCTGATGAAATCATCGGCGTAAATCCTGAACAGTTAAAGTTGCTTTTAAAAGATCTTTTAACAAATCTACCTATTCTGATTGCTGATGAACTCTTTGCAGCATTATCTTCAGCTGATTTAAAGACATTAACAAGCCATTTAATTGATTTTTGGGGCAATGAATTCAGTTATGTTGAAAAAGCTTACAAAACAAGTGAGTGATATTTGTATAATACTATAAACAGATAAAAATTGTACTATACATTCTTCTTTGCTGTTTCATAATAATTTAATTGAAATTTCCTAATGGGTGAGCTTAAAAGATCTACAGATGGTTGTCAATGGAAGAGAAACGTGTATTAACAGAGGTTAGTAATGCAATACGCAAAAGAAAAAATCAATAACATCCAATATTATGCTTGAAATACACCTGGGGTCTTCATTGAGATAGTCGTGTGAATTCCTCCCTCTCTCTCTCAGTTATAATATTAACATCAAACTTACTAATCTAGAAATAATAATGTTTGTTTGTTTCACTAAGGATACGTCTGTCTCGCGGGCAATCTGACGTCACACTGGACATCATCATCAATGCAGGTCAACTGACAACTGAGACAACCTGACTGTAAACTAAAATTAGCAGCACAATTGTAACCTGAATAAAATCTATTTGTTTTTCTGTTGATGTACATGTGGGCTCCGTCGTGTTGATATTTCCTCTTAGAATCTCTTAGAAAGAGTACAGCTTTGGGATTACTTGAAATATGTTTGCTCAAATAATGTTCTCTGACTTTACCATGTCGTGAAATGATTTATTAAACTTATTTGAATGGTTAATTAAATGCTGTGCTCACACTGTCCAGAAATAACTGGTTTTAAAAGCAACAAATTCTGTCAGGCTGGATGCAATCTTACTAAAGCGTCAGTATTTATTAGTAATTTCAAAATTACAGATATAAATTACAACTTAGTGATTTAGACACTATACACAAGTGCAATACTATGCTACACAGAAGGAAATAATTATCATCTAAAGTTCTTTAAGTGTTTTACAGTCTGGAAGTAATACCAATGGAATAATTTCACGCTGATGATATCGTTGCGTGATGTCACACACCAGGTATAATTTTGAATGTGACTACGATTGAGACGCCGCTCCGATAGTAACCTGGAGGACAACATGTAAGGTAAAAGCTTGATAAAAGGGGAATAAAAATACGAATAACTTATATCACACTGATAAATCCGTCTATTGAAATATTTGGTGTAACTTCCAATAACAATTTATTACGTCTAATTTCATCGATGGTGACTAGCAGTGGAATTCAGAATAATCATTTAGTCCTATTTGGGACTTGTCATCTGGATGCAGCTACATTCAGCAGTGAGTGGTGGTGTTCTTGCTGACATTCAAGCCCAGTATCCATTGTTTCGAACAAGAAAGCGTTATCCAATGGACCATTTGAGCTACGTAACAACAGAGGCTGATTATTTTGGTCTAGTAACTCAACGGCATAATCGGAATTGACTTAAGCAAATGATAACCGATGCCCATTATACAAGAGTTGGCTGTCATGGACCTAAGTGGTCTATTGGACAGCGCTTTGGCATTTGAAATGGCGGTTACTGGGTTAGAGTCTCAGTGGGAACACCAGCACTTACTGGTGAATGCAGGTACATCCGGATGATGAGTCTTAAACAGGTCAGTCCAGATTCCACTGCCGGTTGCCATCCACCAAATTACTTCATGTTAATCCTCAGACATGGCGTAGACACCATGTCAACTGAGACCGAAGATATCTGTCCAATCAACCAACGGGAAAATCTCCATCATGACTTCAACTAATAATTTATTGAACTTAATTTGCAGTTGTTTTTTTTAAAATTTTCTTTGACAGATTACAAAGAATCATTTTGGAAAAGAGTAGAAAACAAATTTGGAAATTCTGTAAGAAATCTTCTAGCGTGTGTCGTTGACACTAGACGCACTGAAGTGAAACAAGACTCGCCAATTAAAGGAAGAGGCGGTAAACCAATGGTTGTCTATGCATCAACTGTTAAACTGTTCAATCAACTGAAAGGCATTATAAATCAACAGTAAGTTAATGAGGAATTATTTTAAATTTTATTTAAAGATGGTCATTAAAAGTTATACTTGTGAATATATCTGATTTAGGAAAAGACTGAAAACAATAAAACAAAATATTCAAAGTAGAACTTTACAGGAGACTATGTCAGTTTAAGTTGTCACACTTTGACACGATAAAGATAACTAAAATGAATCCACTGAGAATGAAAAGTCATAAAAGTAGACAAAATGGAGGCTAGTTAAAGTTCTCAGGACATTGACAACGTTGAATGAATACATCTATCTCTATATGGAGTATTTATCAAATAGACATTATACACGCATAGCTATTGCTTTTTATTATTTCAAAAGCACTATGACAAAATGGTGACTTTTGTAGAATATTGAACACTAGACTTCATACTCTTTTCGTGACGACATTAGAATGTCAAAAGGATAAAGATAGGAAATTATATCGTGAAAGGAGATTACGACTGAATGGCATACAGTGTGGTGAGAGCTGTCTACCAGCCAAAATTGGTAGACGGCAATTTACGTCAATGTTTACATGCCAAATCTTGGTCATGAGAAAAAAACAAGAACAAAGACTAACTCAACAACCAATAACAGCAGACTTTGTGTGGGCGGATACGTAAGATAAGATAAGTTAAGCTTTATTCCAAATCAGCACTTGTGATACAGAATGGAATTCTCAGCAGTTTACTACAATATTGCATCCAGTTAGTACATTAACAATAAATATACTTCTACATAGATTAAGGTTATCTCAGTCAGTTTTGACAACAACATATTAGCATGTCGGTAGCAAAGCCAAAATTTAAACAGAGTGTTTGAAGGTGTTAGAAAAGTAGATACTACTAGCATATTTACTGGCGTAAGCGATAGCAAAATGGCCGAGGTATACAGAGTGTGAAAGAACGAACGAGAATGTTTTAAGTAGAGTTTGTAAGAAAGAGAGAAACAAAACAGCACAAAACAAAAAAAAGGTAGAGAGAAAAGGTTGTACCTGTAAATGATGTGACTTGGAAAGACGAGATCCATTTGTTCTACTGACTATTTAATAAGTTAAAGGTTTCCCGCCTTACGCTTTCTTTATCACACAGAACTCGAGCTAGGTAGGGTATGGATGAGTTTTTGTACTTACTAGTGCGGGCATATAGTTTCCTATATAAGCTTCTGGTTTTCCCTGAAGAGATACATGGGGACCATGGTCTGACCATCAAAGAAACAGTCACAAAGAGATGACAGATTACCTCTCAGAGAGAAAACAACCAATCAGAAGACGCTGTTTCTCTGTTAATAGTACGAATAATAATGTATTTACAAATATATAAATATCTGTTGATTTCCTCAATAAACAATCAATTGCCTAGCCATTGTCTTCTATCGTTATAACAGTAGTTTCAAAATAATACGGTTCTAGTTACAACATAAAAGCATTCAGAGTAATTATTACGCAACAGAAACAGAACTTTCAGCAGTATTTATTTTCTGCTTTCTCGGTAAAGTGAATGAAACATTCTCCTTTATGCACATTGTGAGCTTGATTCTTATATCATAACATTGCTTCCAGTCTAGACAAGGGGGCTAAATTTGTTCGTGTTGCCTTCCTAGACTATACATCTGCTTTCGACTCGGTCCCTAGGGACATCTTATTAAATAAACTTGCTGCTAGTCAAACAGAATGTTGGGCTGTTAACTGGTTACATTCCTATTTCTCAGATAGAAAGCAGTACACCGTATATAAAGGGAAGTCCTCCACTTCATTGCCTACTGAAGCTGGTGTCCCTCAAGGCGCTGTTCTTTCTCCTTTTCTTTCTTCTTGCATGACTTGCCTCACTCTGATGAAATAAACTTTGTGAAGTACGCTGATGATTTAACGGTTTCAATGGCTGTTAACTCCCAGCTAGATTGTACTAAAATAAATAGCTTTCTATCGGAAGTCAGCAAATGGTCTGAGTCTAACGGTCTTAAACTGAATCCTTCTAAGTGTCAAACTGTTGATTTCAGCTTAAGATGTAAACGACAGTTAAAAGAAGTCATCGATTCTCATGACAGTTGTAAAATTGACGACAATGATATAGGAATCAAATCAGAAATTAAGTATCTTGGACTCATTCTCTCTTCTGATCTCTCCTGGTCTTCCCATGTCTTAGCAATCTCCAGTAAAATATTCCGCCTGACATTTTACATTAAGAAGTTAAGACACTCGGGTATAACTCAACCCCTACTCTTACAGTTCATAAACTCTTGCATCCTACCTATTCTTCTTTATTGCTCACCCTTATTCTTTCCTGGTTTGCTTAAAAAAGACTATGTCACAATTCGTAGAATACTGAAGACTGTCAGTAGGGTGAGTGGTGTCCCAGTGGACCACATAGTTAACGTCGTTGTCGATAGGCACTTGACTTCGTGCAATAAATTTGCTAAAGGGATTTTGTCTGACTTGGAGCATCCGCTTTACCCTCAGCTTTCACCTTGCATCTCCTCAGGTAGAACAAGGAGTAACTTCAGAAAACTGTATGCTCGCACGTCTAAGTATAGAAATTCTATGATACCATACTTGGCACGTATTTTATGTGATGAAAATAGTGTCAGGCAAGAATTAACTAACCTTTTTTCATCTAGTAAATAAACAATTTCCTCCATCCATCCTTATATACCTTCAAGTTTTACTTTTATTACTTCTATTATATTTATGGTCCTGTTACTTCTTTGTTTGTTTTACTCTCATAATTGCAAACACCAACTTATCTCCATGACGGCTGTAATCTTTGTTTTTCCCTTCACCATATCATGTAAAGAGAACATTATATTCAATATTTTTAAACATGTTAGGATTTCTATACCACATTGACAATACTGTGTGACACAAGCCAACGGCAATTTTCACTTGTATTCTTATTATTATTACCCTAGCTGTTATCATTATTATTGCTATTTCCATTTTATATGCTGCATGTTTTTGACACTACCTCTATTGTAAATGTGGAAAATTTTCTGTGTGATTAATTTTATTTATAATTTGAGGAAATTAGATGCAATATTGTGATTAATGCTGAAAATTCCATTCTGTATCACAAGTACTGTTTTTGGAATAAAGTAAATTATTATTATTATTAAAAATGTGTTCATGTATGGTGGTACTTAACTACTGACTGTATCACTAAAGGCTGTATCAATGTTTCCGAAGTGGTTTCAGTAGACTTATATAGACTACCAATGATCTCTGCTCAAAAAAGTGTGAAATATGTTCCTGTGACAACCACAGCGGATTATTCTGACTAATTTAAGGGTTTGACACACCAGGTTCTATATTTATTCAGAAGATAAAATAGAACTTGAGAAGAAACGTGCTGGGGAGGAGTACATGTATCGGTAGTTCGATGGTAGAATGCTTGACAATTATATATGCTGTCTGACTGTCGACTTCCGACCGACGCACTACTCAGCCTCATCCAATTCACTATCCGACAGTAAGCCGGGAAAAGAGGGAAACTTGAGTGTCAGGCCACCAAATTCATACCGTAAAACAGCAACGCCAACGTTATTGAAATTTCAAAGCTTGAAGCCTCATCTTCCACTCAGAACTCAAACGACTGAAAAATAGATGATCAGATCGGTTTCAAACCTGACCCGTGACATTCTGAATGTTATTGATAAGTAATACTGGATATTTAATATTTTGAATGTTACCAGTGTATTCCCTTACTTATGTAACTGCATTCGGTAATACTGTCTTCTACTGCGAAACAATAATTTGAATCCAAAAAGTATTGAGACAGAACATAACATCATCTTTGACGTGATGTGAGTTTGTATAAATATTAATTAATTAATTAAGTTCTATCCGCCTTTTTCTTACGGAAATGTTTGCAGTACAACATCCTTTATTTCTTCTGTATTCTCTTTTCTCCCATTTTCTTACTATAGAAACGATGATGCAGGACAACAGTTAAGTCAACTTTTCTGTCATACTGATCCATTTCAACTTGAGTTGGTTACCAAATTGTACAATGAGGTTAGCTTATTTGCTGTGATACAAAGAGTTTGTTGTATACTAAGACATTAATCTGTAGATACGTTATATTGTCCTGTTAGTGTTTTTATATTTGAAAGATATCAAGTCGTAATTTTCAAAATACCAATGGTTTATTTGAAGTACAAATGAGGACTTCCTGCCGCTTGCTTGTAACCACCTTACAATGATTCAAAATGTATAGCTATGGTTAAGTAGTTTAATGACCACATTTCGAATTTTCCTGTTTGGATTGAATCAATACCAACAACTATAATAACTGGACACATGATATTGGCTACTGTCTAGTGACCAGTCAATGTCACTATCATCATCCTACAGTAGGTCAGTAGTCAGCCCAAACAGCTCAGTAGTAGCCTCTCTGACTGTAGAACTTTGTGACAGATTTGAAATTTCTGAAGAGGCAGATACGCCTTGATGAAGATCTAACCTATACGACATTGTCTAAACTGTTGTTGAAATCTGTAGATGGTATTTATAATGCGCGACAAGGATCCAAAAGAATTAAGTGTACAAAAAGGTTTCTGTTAGTCATTAAAAACAGAATACTTAACACAAACATTACCGGAAATCACCTTCAAAGATAAAGCGTAAATAGCATTCAAGACATACATGAAAGGCTGCATGTTCCTTACGCTAGAGTGACGGTGAAGTATTCACAGTTTCAATATGCAGTACAAAGAGCACCTTTTTTGTTCCTTTACGTTTCCAGTGGAACACAGTGCTTCCAGCTAGGGGCTTGGGGTTTCGGTAGCAGTGGTGTTTATTTTTATGGGATGGACTTTCAAGCCTCTTGTCCAACCTTCCCTCTTTAGTAGTCTTGTTACTGGCTAAGCGAGTTAAAGGGGTGCGTCGGCCGGAGATCGAACCCCGAACCACATGCGTGGTTGCCAAGCATTCTATCACAGTGCCACCGATGCACACACAAAAACATTAGTGTGTTATATTTTATATATATATATATATATATATATATATATATATATGGCTATTTAAAGAAATTATATCCTGTGAGGGAATTAGGTCAAAGGTGTGAATACATGAAATAATAATAGTAGTATGAAATGCAATTAAAATCGCACAATCCCTACTTCTCCCTTGGCCGTACAGGGATAGGTATTATTGTTATTACTACTCTCACTATGAATCTTTTCCACTTGACCCACTTCTCATTTTGAACCCAAAAATAATTAATTTTTATATTTATATTTTTACAACATAGTGAATTCTTTCTTATCAAATTTCACACCATGTTATGTAACGTTTTATATTCGTCTACTAATTCTACAATTATGTACCCCTTTCCAAAATCTATACACCTTATGTATTATTCTATATATGGCGTAAATTATTTTGCTGCTTGACACTAAACTATGATTATAATCACAAATATTTTAATTACATTTCATACTATTGTTATTATTTCATGTATTCACACCTTTGACCTAATTCCCTCACAGGATATAATTTCTTTATAAAACCATATATATACGATTGTACAGCTTGATAATAAATTCATTGAAAAGAGCCTCTTCGCTGAATATTGTGTTCTTAATGCTACAATGGGAATTATTAAATTATTATATTATTGTCTCCTTTAGTTCCTACAGGAAAATAGAGCTTCTGCCGCACATCTCCATTGCATTAGGTTCTCAGCCGACGTTTTCATCTGGCTTCACAACTGCCCACATGCTTTCATCTCCTCTTCGCACCACCTACTCCATGTCACTCTCACACTGACGATCAATTCTCCGCTTCCAATTCGGGCTCCACTTGGGTGATCGCCTGGCGTGTAATGTTACTTTAAAGGTATTCTCAGAGTTTGACCAATTCATCCTCATTTCTTCCTGCATATTTGTTGCGCAGTTGATTCCTGGTTGGTTCGTTGGTTCGTTCCCAGAGATCCCTGTTATTGATCTTGAGTATTGAGTGACGACAACTGTTGAAGAAGGTGTGTAGTTTGTTTGAAGTGCACTTCGTGACGCGGCGCCAAGTCTCTGATCCGTATAGTAGCACACTGGAGTTGAAAATCCGGGTCTTATTTTCATTTTCATGCTGAGTGCTGTTGATCTCCACACAGACTTGAGAGTAATGAAAGTCGGCCTTGGTTTCTTGATCCTCACTTTGATATCCTCATCAGTTCCGTCCACCTGTAGTTGATACGATGCTTCCTAGGTAAGTAGGTGAAGGAGGTTGCTTCTTTCAGGTCTCTCCCATTAATGCTGACTGTTGTCTGTTGCTGCTGATCAGGAATCTTCATCATTTCTGTCTTCTCTATGTTTACCTGAAGTTCCATTTTCTAATACCTTTTCTGTTAAATGTTTGCTTTTCAATTGCCTTATAAATATTATTTTTTTCATGAAATTCTCATTCATAGCATCTTACTAAACTTACTATTTCTTACTTGCTTTTAATCAAAGTATTCAAACGCTTTACAAAATAGACAAACTATTTTCTTGAAATATTATTTTCCTGATGGGTGTCAACTAGTCCGCTGCCTAGGTCCAAGGCTTTCTGTCGATTGCCTTCAAACAGCTAATATCAACAATTTAAAGTGCAGCGTGACGGCGAGCCACCTAGAACGGTGGTTACCTTACAAATCTGACTGGTAGATTTCAGTCTGCACCAAACAAAAGGACTAGACACATTACACTAGTTGCTAACTAGTGCCCAACCAAAATAATATTTTTTCACTCAAAATTCAATACTCTTTATTAATCAAATCGCCACTCTACGGATCATCATTGAACAAAGCTTGGAACGGCAGTCACCTCTCTATCTCAACTTCATCGACTTCGAGAAGGCCTTCGACAGCGTCGATCGAGAGGTGATTTGGCAACTACTTCGTTACTACGGGGTGCCATCGACAATTAAACATCTCATCCAACAGCTATACGACAATGCTGCATGCCAAGTAATCCACAACGGGAAACTTACGGAAGCCTTCGAAGTGAGGACGGGAGTGAGACAAGGCTGCCTAGTATCGCCAATGATTTTCCTGATTGCAATAGATTGGATAATGCGACAGACAGTGGCGGCAATGAGGAAACAGGCATAAAATGGACTCACACAAAACAAGAACTTGGAGGATCTGGACTTCGCCGATGATATATGTCTGATTTCCCACAAACTGGAAGATATGCAAGTGAAAAGCAACAAGCTGGAAGAAGAAGCATCCAGAGAAGATAAGACTTCAGGTGAACATAGATAAAACAGAGGTGATGAAGATTCCTGGCCAACACCAACAGCAACAACAACAACAACAGACAACAATCAGCCAGCATAAATGGGAGGAACCTGAAAGAAACAACCTCCATCACCTAACTATCCACCTACCTGGAAAGCATCGTTTGAACTACAGGGGGACGGAACTGATGAAGATATCAAAGCCAGAATCGGAAGAGCAAGACAAGCTTTCATTACTCTCAAGTCTGTGTGGAGGTCAACAGCACTCAGCATCAAAAATAACATCCGGATTTTCAACTCCAATATGAAGTCAGTGATATTATACGGATTAGAGACTTGGCCAGCGCATCATAAAGAGCATCTCGAAGAAACTTCAGACCTTCATTAACAGTTGTCTTCGCTCAATACCACTCAAGATCAGATGGTCGGCCAGAAAAGATCAGCAGCACAGAGATCTTTAGCAATGAGCAAACCAACCAGGTACCTATTGTGCAAAAAATAGGCAGGAAGAAATGGAGATGGATTGGCTATACGCTGAGGAAACCATCAAGTGACATCACTAAACAAGCCATCGCTGGGGTGGAACCCGAAAGGGAAGTGGCGAGTCAGTTGGTCGTCAGTGCAAGGGTGACTTGGAGGAGGTCATGTGAAGAGGAGATGAAAGCATGTGGGCAGACTTGGAGAGGGGTGAAAAAGTTGTCAGAAAACCGAAGGCAATGGAGATGCGCAGCTGAAGCCCTATGTTCCTCTAGGAATTAAAGGATATAATAATAATAATTCAATACTCTTTACGCATAACTTTCCGTGTAAGTATTTAAGTTAATTCACACATTTTTGTTTCTTATATTCCCTGCCTATTATATAGACACATGATAAACATGTAAAGGAATACATCCTACAGGAAACATCTGGTGGGTTACGTGATGTTCTTACAGAAATATGTAAGTGTAGTGCCTACTACCTTTTTTTCCATTTTTAAATTGAATGAAAACAATTCCATTGTTTTAGCTGGTTGATTGTTAAGGCTACACGAAATACCTAAAAAAAAGTCTCGTTAACTTGACAAACTAATTAACTGAAGCTGCATTACAAAGTGTTCATCAGTACAATTCCATTATGCATAAAATTTATTTCGTTCACATAGCATCTACTATTAATACATGCAATCACTAGTTCCACAGATATGGAAAATGCTACTACCAATCAAATCAAGAGATAAAAAATAATGGAGTTATACAAACGAACTTCGAAAGTTGTGTGAGTAATTTGATATGTTTATGGGCAATACATTGTACTCGAAACATCATCAGTAAATATTATTGTATAACACTGTGAAACTTTATCAAAATGAATTTTACTCATAATGGAATTCTTTTCTACCACAGTGTCCAAGTTCTGTTGTTATTTTCATCAGTACCATACCTTTTTTAAAATTCTTCTACGTTCCCAGTGGAACATAGGACTTCAAGACAGAGGCTTGAAGTTTCTGTAGCAGTAGTGATTATTTTAACAGGGTGGGGTTGCTAGCCTCATGCCCAACCTTCCCTCTCTACTAGTCTTGTTACTGGCTTAGTGAGGTAAGGGAGTGCGTCGGCTGGGGATAGAACCCCGAACTACCTGAGTGGTTGGCTAGCATTTTACCGCTGTGCCACCAAAGCTGAGCAATATTAAGGTAAATAAATATGAAATACAGGCAGGACAATATATTCCCTCTGTAGTATTTACAAGCAGTTTGACCCTTAGCTAATAATCACATCACAAGCATACATGTAGCTGATGCACCATTTTGAGATGAAATATTGAACGTCTTTAAAAAAATTAATCTCACAGGAAAGCAAAACTAATCACCTATCTACTCCTACCTCTTGTGATATTCATTCAGATACTTCAAAGAGGCTATATTTAACTAGTTGAATTTTGCTTAAAAATTTATTCAAATATAAATTTGGCGCATTAGAGGCACTAAGATACGCGTCACAGAAAATCTGCCTGGATACCCAGACCAAAGCAGATGGTTGACTTGACTTGAAGTCTCATCCATAGAGCAGTGCAGAAGCATTGAGAGGTGAATTCCCGTAGTTCCTGATGATTGAAACAGGTTCATGCGCCATTCAATTCTCTCGGATTCTGGAGCTCATGTGCTACATAGGCTTGGAATTAGGGTTTTTCAGTTTCCTTAGGTGGATCAGGACATCCACTAGTCCGATTGTAAGCGACAGATGTCCGCAATCATCCCTTCACTTTTATGAGGAAAAACCTCACCAAGTGAAAGGAGGACTTACCTGGCCGAGTCTTTGGATGCCACACGGCAATATACTAGAATTTACTTGTGTCATATCCAACTCATATACATTCATGGTTTTGGTATGTGTTTCTGAAGATTGTTACTGTTTTACTACTTTTATCCCAGACGATTATTCGGTTGACAAGCCGATGTATTTTGCAAGTATATTTCACAATGAATTAAATAAAACAAAGCCGAATGAACTGAAAATTCAGCGCCTACTAATTTTACGTTCAGAAGTAAGAATTTATATATAATATGTCATATACTTGGTATTCAGTTGTTGGGCCATTTACGACAAGTTAGATTAAAATTTTGTTAGGTGGAGAATGTGTGTATATCTTTATGTTAACCAGTTCAATGCCGAAAGCACTAACCCAGCTAATGTACATCTTCATAACCTTTTCTTGAATAAATTAACAATAAATTGTCTCCAGTGCTAAAAAATGTTGGACATATATATACATAAGCGTGGTTATAAGTAGTCTGTCCAGAAATAAGAAGTCACAGAGAGGGTTTAAACCCCATTAGCTGGTTGATATCTCCTAGGCAGAAATAAATGAGTGAATTTAATTAACCCCTGCTCACACAAGTACCAATTATTTATTTAAAGAAAAAAGGTCTCTTTCTCTGTGAGTACACATGACAGCCTAATTAAAGTTAGTCTGTATATGATAGACTACTGAGATAAACAAAAACATTTGAAATGAAGTTTCTCTAAGTCATTGTGCATAGCTGTGAAATACCATGTCAACTGGAGTCAATCTGTGGGTTAATTTCCATCAGTGTGAAATGACGCTAGTCATAGAATATAAGTTAATCAGACTCGGAAAATGTCAACTACAATGATTCACCTCATTGGCTGAATCCTAACACGTTCAACATAAGACCTAATGATTTTGATCAGGATCCAGTATACAGTTGTGCTTGTACACAGCTGATCCTGGGCTATAAGTTCGTAGACATTTAACACGTTATAATTTTTTACCGGGAAAATTCAGTTACTAACCACTGAAGGTCGGATGAGTGGCAATTATTCACGGGTGGAAGTGAAGGAAGGAAGGACTACTAAATTCTGCGTATTTGTTGGCAAATTACATAATAGGTAGTTCTACATTCCAAAATTCGTGGACATGTGTTTCCGAAGAGTTTCAAAAGAAGGGAAAGAATCTATATCTTGTACTTTATTTTCAACGATTTGCTGGTTGTGACGAAAGCTGTTCCACTAATTTGTGTGCAGAACAGATTATAAGATTACACAGGTTTTAAAAAACGTGTATATATATATACGTGATATAAATAAGAAAACCTGCGTGGAAGGTCATCTGAACTAACTCTCTGAAGATGCTGTCCAAGGAAACGTGTACTACTGCTCTGGAAAGAAAGAATAGACGAGACAAGGAATGGTTCTAAAAGGACACCTGAAAGCTGATAGAAGAGAGGAGGATGGTGAAAGAGAAGATGATTCAACGTAAAGATGGACAATAGAAAGGAGTAGTTATGTTTTACGGGTTGATCACGGATTGATATCAGTTAGAGAACCATTGAAAACCAGGTAGTACTGGACAGCTGCTGTTTCATCCTAGTTTGGGAATCATCGGCAGTACGCACCCACTGGGTTTCGAACCCGGGACCTTCCGGTTACAAGGCAAGCTCGTATACCATTCAGCCACTGGGACCCGATTCAATGGCTCGTGAATTCTAACTTCTACTAATTCGTGATTTAGCGCGACCCCAACCATTGTCGTTGGTGGGACATCCATCCACACACGTGACATCTAGTTGGACCTCACTGGTCACGACTTCTCACTAGAACTCAGGAAACTCCAACCTGTAGCAAGTCACTAGCGAGCATCAGATTAACTTTCTATAGTTTGGTTTGTAAGGATTAGTTATGTTTTACGGGTTGATCACGGATTGATATCAGTTAGAGAACCATTGAAAACCAGGTAGTACTGGACAGCTGCTGTTTCATCCTAGTTTGGGAATCATCGGCAGTACGCACCCACTGGGTTTCGAACCCGGGACCTTCCGGTTACAAGGCAAGCTCGTATACCATTCAGCCACTGGGACCCGATTCAATGGCTCGTGAATTCTAACTTCTACTAATTCGTGATTTAGCGCGACCCCAACCATTGTCGTTGGTGGGACATCCATCCACACACGTGACATCTAGTTGGACCTCACTGGTCACGACTTCTCACTAGAACTCAGGAAACTCCAACCTGTAGCAAGTCACTAGCGAGCATCAGATTAACTTTCTATAGTTTGGTTTGTAAGGATTAGTTATGTTTTACGGGTTTATCACGGTTGGGGTCGCGCTAAATCACGAATTAGTAGAAGTTAGAATTCACGAGCCATTGAATCGGTCCCAGTGGCTGAATGGTATACGAGCTTGCCTTGTAACCGGAAGGTCCCGGTTCGAAACCCAGTGGGTGCGTACTGCCGATGATTCCCAAACTAGGATGAAACAGCAGCTGTCCAGTACTACCTGGTTTTCAATGGTTCTCTAACTGATATCAATCCGTGATCAACCCGTAAAAAATAGAAAGGAGTGCTAGAAGAGACAAAACACCATTCCACGACATAGTGGATAGCAACTGAAGCAGAACAGGCTGGCTGCAGGTAAAAGAGACCTTAGAACATTATATCAGAAAACCAGGTCTCTATCCGGGAAGACAGCAACCCAGATGATGGAACCAATAGGAGATGTTCAATGGAACCTAATTATTGGTGAGGAGAAACAAATAAAACAATGGGCTGATCATTTCAAAGGACTCTTGAATCCATGAATAATTCCCATTCGAACATTAGTAAACAGAAGACAAGGTGTCTTCTGACTCTTGAATCAACTACAACCTGCAACTCTCCCAGAAATACCACTACGCATAGCACGCACAGAACTGTCTGCCAGTGAACACCAATCCTCCAACGAATGCAGAAATCTTGAGTGTGATAAAGCTACTGAAGAATAAAAGATGCACTGGATGTAGAATTTTTCCCCACCGGAACAAGCTGGATTCAGGAAAAATAAATAATGTCCTGATTAAATTGCGACTCGACGCATCATTATTGAACAAAGCTAAGAATGGAAGTCAAACATCTCTCAATCTCAACTTCATCAACTTTGAAAAGGCCTTCCAAAGCGTTGACCGAGAAGTAATATGGAAACTGCTTCAACACTACCGCGTGCAATGCTCAAGTCTTTGTCGACCTCATTCAACAGCTCGCTAATACAACAATGGTGCGTGTCAGGTGATCCACAAAGGAAAACTCAGCGAAGCCTTTGAAGTGAATACAGGAGTAAGACAAGGCTATCTGACTATTATCACCGATGATATTCTTAATTGCAGTAGACTGGATCATGCGTCAGACTGTGCACAGGGAGTGAGAAGGCAGGTATGCATTGCAATGATCGATAAGAAGACTCTGGAAAATCTGGATTCCTCATGTGGATGATTTATGCTTAATGTCACATAAACTCGGAGAATTTCAGGCGAAAGTCAACAATCTGACTAAAGTGGCTGGCAGACAGCGGAGACAGCACTCCAGGTGAACATATAGAAGACGCAGGTGATGAAGATAATCAACCAAAGAACAGCAACAACAACAACAACCAGCGCCAATCACCATCATCAGGAGAGATTTGACAGAGGCTACTTCCTTTAGTTAGCCAACTAGGAAGCACAGTTTCAACCGTAGGTGGAACGGATGAAGATGTCAGCCAGCCAGCCAGAATCGGAAAGGCATGCAAGACACGCCTTCATCACTCTGAAATCAGTCTCGAAATCTTCTGCCTCACGAAGCCAGCATGTGGGAGAACATTCGGATTCTATTCAACAACACTGTGAAGTCAGTCAATTCTTCTATACGGGTCAGAAACTTGCACTGTGTGTCAAGAAAGGGGTTTTCAATAGGCTAGTGCAGAGTCTTATCAACAGTTCTTTTCACTGGCTTCATAATGAAGATCGAATGGCAGGCTAGAAAGAAATGGTGGAAAAATCCACTAAGAAACTATCGTTCAACAAATATATCGGATAAAATGGAGACGCATGGAGCATACATTGATGAGGTCATCGAATGACATTACGCGCCAGGCCATCGCTCAAGTGGAACCCGAATGGGAAGCGAAAAGTGGGTCGTCAGTGCGAGAATGAAATGGAGGACATCGTTTGGGAAGGTACAGAGAGGTTATGGTCAATCGTCGACCAAGCTAAAGAGGGCAGCAGAGAGTAGGACAAAGTGGAGTTGTATTGTTTAAGCCTCACCCTCCCAACAGAACTCAAAGGAATAATAATAAAAATACAACCTAAAGTATACGATAATATCAATGAAAACTGTTATTCGATTCACGTAAAGATCGTCATTACAAATGAAATTTCCAAACCCACTCTTTAACATTATACTATTTTAACTAATAGATTTAGATATGATAGAGAAGATTTGTAGCTCAGGTGGATGATTTTGATGTGGTTTTGTTCTCTGAGCTGGATGTTTAGTTTGCGAAGCTTTCATCACCTTACTGGGTGACATCTTCAGCGCATACTTCAATTTGAAGTGAGCTTTTAGATTTCTCCACGAGTTTATTAATCATCTCTCCTGGTGACCTTGGACGTGATTGGTTGATTGTGTGTTTTCACACCTTCTAGGTTACTTGCATTCGAACAGGTTGTTTCTTTGACTTGAACTTTGAACCTTTGTGTATGAAGTTTCTTCCTTATTGGTTGATAACTTTTGTCTATCTCGATGTGTCTATTGATTGATGATTCACTGGAATGCCAAGCTTCTAAAAATTCTCTAGCATTCTTGTTATTTCCTTTGTCAACTACGGACATCAATTCGACTGGGACAACGTTCAAATATTAGACAAAGGAAATAACAAGAATGCTAGAGAATTTTTAGAAGCTTGGCATTCCAGTGAATCATCAATCAATAGACACATCGAGATAGACAAAAGTTATCAACCAATAAGGAAGAAACTTCATACACAAAGGTTCAAAGTTCAAGTCAAAGAAACAACCTGTTCGAATGCAAGTAACCTAGAAGGTGTGAAAACACACAATCAACCAATCACGTCCAAGGTCACCAGGAGAGATGATTAATAAACTCGTGGAGAAATCTAAAAGCTCACTTCAAATTGAAGTATGCGCTGAAGATGTCACCCAGTAAGGTGATGAAAGCTTCGCAAACTAAACATCCAGCTCAGAGAACAAAACCACATCAATAACTAATAGATAAACGAACTTTAAAGGTAATGCAGTCTGTGCATTAGTGTTTCACATAAAAATCTACTGGATTGTATAATTCATATCATTTGATAATAGACCCTTTAGAAAATTTGGCTCACATCTTTCTGTATGAAACACTCTATTATAGTTTAACTGAATCTCATGGTCGTGTTTTTTTTCATGTGCTTGTCTTAAATTCACCATTATTATCAGCCAGCAACTAATCCAATTTGAGAATATTCTGATCAGGTGACTCAACCCTCAAAAAAAAAGAAAGAGGGAGAGATGCAACCCCATTTTAAACCATTTTGATAATGAGTAAACTAAATTATCAAATGCTCTACATAACTAACAATCTTCTCTTCAACTTACTTTTGTTAACTTACTTTAGATAGATTTACATTCTATAAATGAATCATATAAACGAATGTATGGTGTTTCTCTGTCAAACGATATAAAACAAAAGTTCACCGATCAATACGGAGAAGCATTGCAATCAATTTTAATGAAACGTGAAATATCAAATATTTTTCAACATTCAATAGAAATACTTATTTAACTTTGAAGATAATTTGGATCCTTTAAATCTTTTGCAAATTTTAGCGGTCAAATTCAAAACATTAACATATTCACTTTGCTTAATATTATTATCTTGACGTTTATTGTGATTGTTTCTTGTCTTCAAACGACTGTCATCAGATGTTTATTTCATTACATAGGGATAATTCTTCGTTAAGGTAATCTTTTATTATTTGATTATGCCTAGATTCAATAAGAAATTTAATCATACATTAACAGGATCAGAAATATTCTACCCGTCTATTCTGCCGATAATTGTTCATTCAAATAACAGACCATAGAAATGATACTTGATCATTATATTGTAATAAAAGTCATTCAAATTGCGAAATATATCGGTTAATTCATAGGGAAAAACACAGTTATTTTGTTCAGCGAAAAAATATCTCTTTCAACGACTTCGTTTTCAAGCTGTACAGTTGTATTTAAATTACGGAAAAAGGCATTATGACCATCTCTATGCGCATATACTCATTCACAAGCTCGTGTGGAACTGATTACACTAGACGCTGTAAGCGGAATCCCCGTAAACGCGTAGCTGAACACTACCCGGTTTGGTTAATGAAAGGTGAGCGAAGGACGACAAAGTCTTCAATATGTGAACACCTTTTGGAGTCAGGTAAGCCCCTCACACATGATTTATCCTTTAAAGTTATCTACATGACCGAATTCAATCAATCCAAAAGCTTACGTTTTCTCCACTTATGCATAGCCAAAACTCTAGCTATAAATGGACAAAAACCTAAATTAAGTATTCAAAAACGTTTTGTCAAACTCCTTTCTTTACCTTGGTGATAGTAATGTTCTTTTATTTTATTCTATTTTACCGCTTGGATTCATTCCACTTCATTTTCGCCGTCTTTATTGTAATCTTTATGGTTATCATCATCGTACTCTAAATATTTCAGACAACAACTCACGACCTGCAATTTTAAAATCTTTATGTCAATTCACTTATTTAATAATAATCTTTAAAAGTTTTGTAATTCATCCACTTCAACTCTACAGCCTTAGTGCATCATTATAATTATCTTTATTCTTATCACATATATATTGACTGAGGAACTTCTAGTGCCACCTTATGCCTGTATCCGTAATACAAATACGACTGTACAGCTTGAAAACGAAATCGTTAAAGACAGATATTTCTTCGCTGAACAGAAAACTGTGTTTTTCCTCATAAAAGTCATTGCTTGAAGACTAGTGATATTACCACGTTGTTCATAATTTCACAGGTGAAGCAGAATAAAAACCTGTAACCAAATGGTTGAAAGTCATGCGCCTAATCCAGAGAGCTATATCTCAACCGAATCCATAACAAACGAAGCAAAACAACTACGGAAATGAAGTCAGAAATTTACTGTCAGACTATATTGATATCATTAAGGCTAATGAATTGTACTTGAAGCATCGTCATTATTTTATATAAAACTATTTGAAGTTTGTAGAATATTATTTCACTTCACATAACACAATAAAGTATTTTTGGAAGAATAATTTATTATTTAATCTAATTTGGATTTTTCCGATAACTGATTTGATCGAAGTGCTTGGCCTCTGTTAACATGTTATCTCCTTTTGAGGATGTTTCGACGATGTCTGAGGATTTGACCTGAAATAAATTTGGTGGGTGATGACTAGCAGTGGAATCCAAGATGCTCATATCGTCATGTTCAGGACTCTTCAGCTCGAGGAGGTACCTGCATCCACCAGTAATAGAATGATGTTCTCAAATGAGCTCCAACGCATTACCTACAGCTTCAAATCTCAAAAAGTTATCCACTAGGCCACTTAAGCCACATGGTGTCAGTTATCATTTGATTCAATTTCAACTTTCTCGTTGATTGATTGGACAGCATTGCTGAGTTCGAGTCCCAATGGGAACACTATCACTCAATGGGAAGGTATACATCCAGATAACGAGTCCCAAATAGAACGAGATGCACATCTTGGACCCGCTGCTGGTCACTATCCACCAAATCACTTCAGAATAATCTATTGTTTATTGCCACATAAATGCACCCACATAAGTCCCTGAATTTATTTTCACTTCTCCTTCTTTCCAATTTATAGTAAAAACACCATAGACGCTATTCCTTTCAAATGCAGATTGTGTGGCCCATTGCCTTTAATGCTTGCCTTTCAGCCAGTGAATCCTTATTCGAATTACCCTTACTTATTTCAGCCTATGTGTGTCTGGGTAGTATCATAAAAACTCAAACAATAAGTGTTATTCAAAGTATGAGATATAAAAAATTCGAAGTCCCGATTAACTAACAACTTGCATCTATAGTGAATTGAGTTTAACTCCAGAAATTTCACCTTCATTTTCTACTGAAGATGTAACTATAAGCTGGGAATGGCTTTGTGATAAAATGACATTCATTTTTAGTCTGTGTTTATGTGCGAAAGAGCATAAATCTCATCGGTGCAGATAATGAATTGCGTTAGGCGACTAATTCCTTTCAAGTGTTGGGTTGTCGAGATTTGATTGGTTTACACAGTGAGGACAAATACTCGCCAAAGACTATCGCTAGGGGTCGCGTTATATCGTAAATTGGCACTAGTTTTCAGTTTCCCATCTTCTTTCCTTTTTACGTTGCAATCTAACATTGGAAGTTCCCCTTCCTGACTCTCCAATTCATAAGTGAATTGAATTGCCTCTACCTTCGAGTTGATGTGCTCGAAAAATCTATCTATATCTTGTGTTCTAAGTACAGTGAATGTGTCATCTACATACCTCCACCATACTTTTGGGGTGGGGTGAACGTATCAATCGCTATCTTTTCCCACCTATCCATGAATATATCTGCTACAACCGGGGATATTGGTGATCCCATGGCAACTCCCTCAGTTTGTTTGTATATTTTCCCTTGGAATTTAAATACTGTAGAAGTCAGGCAAAGCTGCACTCCCAGCATTATGTCCTCAAGTGGCACTTTTGTCCTAAGTTCGAGTTCTTGGTCAGAAATGAGTTCGTTTCTGACCGCCTCTATAGCCATATTTATTGGTATACGTGTATATAAACTGACAATGTCAAAACTAACCATTTTTTCTTCATTATCTAATTTTAAATTATCTAATCTGTGTTTTAGTTCATAAGAATTAGTTAGTCTAGATTTCGAGTGGATTTTTAGGGGATTTAATACCATGGCTAAATATTTAGATAATTCATAGGTAGGTGAATTTCTAAAATCAACTATAGGCCTAATAGGGTATCCTGACTTATGAATTTTAACAACACCATACATCCTACTGGGGTTTTTAGTTTTTGGCATTAAATTAAACCACTTAGACTCACCTAGAAACGGCTTCATTCGGCGTATAAGGTCCGCTGTGGATTTCTTAACTTTATTCATAACTGTGTCTATTGATTTATTAATTTCCTCATATAGTCCTGTTTGTATGTGAGTATTTACCTTGTCCAAATAGTCCGATTTGTCTAATACTACTGTTGCGTTTCCTTTGTCTGACTTTGTGATTACTATATCCTTGTTATTCTTGAGGTGTTTCAGGGCTTCTGTCTCTTCTTTTGTCAGGTTAGGTTTTCCACATTTTTGTCGTTTTAATGTAAGTGCACATTGTGCACGTACTTCTTCAGCTGTTGTTTTGCCTATCTCACTTAGAGCTATTTCTATTTTAGGGATGCCAAAAACTAAAAACCCCAGTAGGATGTAAGGTGTTGTTAAAATTCATAAGTCAGGATACCCTATTAGGCCTATAGTTGATTTTAGAAATTCACCTACCTATGAATTATCTAAATATTTAGCCATGGTATTAAATCCCCTAAAAATCCACTCGAAATCTAGACTAACTAATTCTTATGAACTAAAACACAGATTAGATAATTTAAAATTAGATAATGAAGAAAAAATGGTTAGTTTTGACATTGTCAGTTTATATACACGTATACCAATAAATATGGCTATAGAGGCGGTCAGAAACGAACTCATTTCTGACCAAGAACTCGAACTTAGGACAAAAGTGCCACTTGAGGACATAATGCTGGGAGTGCAGCTTTGCCTGACTTCTACAGTATTTAAATTCCAAGGGAAAATATACAAACAAACTGAGGGAGTTGCCATGGGATCACCAATATCCCCGGTTGTAGCAGATATATTCATGGATAGGTGGGAAAAGATAGCGATTGATACGTTCACCCCACCCCAAAAGTATGGTGGAGGTATGTAGATGACACATTCACTGTACTTAGAACACAAGATATAGATAGATTTTTCGAGCACATCAACTCGAAGGTAGAGGCAATTCAATTCACTTATGAATTGGAGAGTCAGGAAGGGGAACTTCCAATGTTAGATTGCAACGTAAAAAGGAAAGAAGATGGGATACTAAACACTAGTGTTTATAGAAAACCCACACATTCAAACAGATATTTGGATTTCCGATCATCCCATCCTATGTGAGTAAAAATAGGATTAGTGAAATGTTTAAATTATAGAGCACAAAAACTAAGTAGTACCAAGGAAAATCTAAGACAGGAAGTGATACACATAAAAGAAGCCTTGAAACTTAATAATTACCCGGATAAATTAGTCAAGAAATATGTAGGGAAATGTAAAAATAAAATAAATAGTGATAGTAGAGATAGTGATAATAATAAATAATACTGTTTCACTGTGTGATATATCTAATAAACAAACTAATATGGAATTTCCCCAGTGGAACATAGGGCTTCGAGCTAGTGGTTTGAAGTTTCTATGGCAGTGTTTATTTCACAGGATGGGGTTGCTAGCCTCATGCCTAACCTTTCCTCTTTATCAGTATTATTTCTGATTTAGCGGGGTAAAGGAGTGCATCAACCGGGGATCGAACCCCGGACCACGTGCATGGTTGGCGAGCATCCTAACCGCTATGCCACCGACGTACTGTGAATTACACCACAGAAATTACTGTCGATGGTACGCTTTCTAAATGAACTCTGACCAACACATGCAAAAGTGCTAAACTTAGTGACAAACAGTACTTCTCTTACTCTTAAAATGGAATAATATCCTTAACCAATCACCTGATTATCACATAGACTATGTCATTATGAACCATATCACTGTACTGGAAACTATATCTAACCCAGTCACATTAATAAAATATACTTCATTGCGTACAGGTAATCTCAATGGCAATAGCATTAGTTAAAACGATTCCTGATGTTATGTATCATCACTAAGTATATTAAATTATACATTGTTCAATGATCATTTGATAATTACACACAGACGATTACTTATACGTGACACAGATAATCAATACCATTGAATGCAAAAGCATACATGGTCTTCAAAACTTTACGAGGTCAAATTCCAAAGTTAAATGAATAAAATGAGGGCGGAGATCGATCACAAACTATTCTATTGAAGGCTTATTTGATTACTTGATAGTACACATAAGAAATTACCCATTTTCTCGGGTTTTTTTCTAAACTAAACGACAACAAAACAACTGACCCTATTCAGGCAGTGAGCTGGGATTCTATTGGAAAGCCGTGACCACTGGGGTGCAGCATGTCGAAGGTGAGGCAGTAACTCATAGAAGGAGTCATTGCGAAATGATCGAGCTATGTCATGAATTGGCAGGAGCTAGAATGCATGATACATTGGATTGGGTCCCAGTGGCTTAATGGTCTACGGGTTAGCCTTGTAACCAGGAGGTGCTGGGTTCGAGCCCCAGCGGGTGCGCACTGATAAAGAGGCCCAAGCTGGGACGAAACAACTGTCCATCACTCCCAGGTTTTCCAATGGTTCTCTAACCAATGTCAGCTCATGATGATGTCATACTTGAAAACGAAAGTAGTATTCAAATACTACAATAATGAGCAATATCGCTGACTGTTTGACCACTGACTGACTAAATGGTTTCAACATACAACTTTGCAGAGATGTGCAGCAGCTCGAGTTGCTACACTTCATGTAGTACACAAAGCAAGAGAAGAAAGTAAAGAGAAATTCGAAAGAGAGATAATAAACAGAAATGTGAGAAAAAACAATAACAATACGGAAAACCAATAGAATTTTATTGTATATGAACAATCACAAAGAGTGAGTGTATTTGCGCTAGCCATTGAGAACGACTTTCAGCCATATCACGAATTGTCCCCAGTCATTGGTTCTTATTATCCCGACGACCTCAACTAATCAGAAGGTCTACATCTCCGTACGTGGCTTAAACTAACTGTTGTGGATTTCATTGACTGATGCTCAGCTTAAGTTTGACTACCACTACCTCTTTTCCAACCTGATCCTATGTCAGCTAATATTGCCCGTCAAGGAGGGCGAAGGCTAGGCATGAGTAACACAAGTTCTAACCATCTCAATCAGTGTAACTTCACAGTCTCGTCGAATGATTTCTCCCTCTTATTTAGCAGCCGACACCTAACCTCAATACTGCTCACCACACTATACCATTTGACACGGGAGATAGAAGGCAGGCACCTATGATCAAAGACAGTTAGCTGGCTAGGCTTTTCATGTCTTCCACTTTCGATGGCCACGTCTCACAGCCATTTAGGATGACAGAGCGAACTGCCGGGCAGTAAGCATTTCTTTTGGTCAACAGCCGGATATCACGTCAACGCCAGAGATAGCGTAAGTTGGCATATAGCCAAATGAACCTTTTGTTTAGGTGCTGAGATTTCTTCAGAGATCAACGCACTGGTGTCGGCTGATGCAACTCACTACATAAGTGAAGCAGTCAACACGCCCTACCATTTCACTTCCTATCTTTAAGCTAGGAGTCAATGTAGCCTAAAGTAATGAACCAACGTAGAATATAGAACAGAAGTGCATCCATTCAGCTCTCCACACTTCGTCAGGTACACAAAATAAGGAAAAGAAACAGAGTGATACTCATGCAGATAAACGTAGTTGCGATCTGAAGGTATTTCTTTATTACTCCTTTGTCTCACACCTCTGCTCACTGTTTCTATTATGCTTTTCTTGTACTTTCTTCTCTTGCTTCGCGTGCTACACGGAATGTGGCGACTTGAACTTCCGCACATTTGTGCAAAGTTCTATGTCGAAAACAGACAGACAGACAGATCTGAAGGTATTTAGGATTTGGAAATTTTTAAGTGATTATATCTGCATTATTATAAACGATTTAAAATCCTATTACAAAGGGCCTGCAAACAATAATTCTTAGCATGTCAATGAACGAAGTCAAGCAATCTATACCAGCATAATCGGCTCAGACTTACCAGTCAATGACCTCGGGAACTGATGTCACTGCTCATATCTGACCACTTCTAACACTTTTATAACTTAACCCTACTTCAGCGAACAATGCTCGCAGAAGAAATTGTTGTCTCAACATATCTAACAGAGTGTCAATTCACGTGAATCTATTAGGATTCACAACTTCATCGATTGATTTATCCGACTTATCTAAAACTACGCTTAACCTCATCATTGCTTACCATTCGGCCTCGATGATCAAAAATCGCGAATTTATACACCTCTTATCCTTAAACCTGCTATATTTGTCGATAGTAAAAAAGGAAATAGAGAGCGAATTGCTGCATGATACACACATTATTTGGTGAATAACCAGTTATTATGTCGGAGCCAGAAATGATACCATTTGATAAAGCCAAAGCGTCTTCTGAATCTGTAGTAAAATCTAGTCTGTAACCAGTTCTTTAGGAATGATTCAGTTACAAAACGAGTGAATTCAAAAGCAAAGTCGACCTGCTTGATCTAAGTCGACGATAATCATCCTTAGCAGTAGTAGAATAGTGTAAATGTCCAATTTGATCAGAGTCAGGTCAAGAAATAATGGGTAACATTGCAGAAAACTTAACTTATTCTACTCAAGTTGATGAAATTCAGCAAACACAATGCACGAGAATAAATATAGCAAATCTAATGAAGACCACAGTGGACGAAAATATAGGGAAGAGACAACAATAAGAAGACTGACTGTAAAAGACTTTCATAGAATTACATCAGATGTCCTTTAAATAAATCCTCTTTTTCAACATACTTTCCAAAGAACAAATATGTGTTTTGATAGAGTCTATGAAAATTATTGCCACTGAGGTCAGTCAATCAGTAAAAGTGGTAATTAAAGTGGAAAAGTTCTCCCCTTATTGCAGTTAACTCGAGCATAGTTTATCATAAGAACGAAAACAAGAAATCAAATGCTACGCAGCTATATGCATTAATTTACAGAATAAATTCATCCCAGAAATATCAACAAGGAAATCCAACTAAAACAAACTTCCAGGCAATGAAAAGTGAAAATTATAAAAACCATTAATTGTGAATATCATTGCCTAAAGAAACTTATAGAAAATCACCAACTGTATTCACTTTTTACGCTTCCACAACCAATACAACACAATTTAAATAATGCACATCATACTTTTTCACTTTCACGAAGTTAGGAAACAACAGTACCGAATTAGTCGAAACCAGGTAAAATTATAAAAAGAGATTATCAAACAAATTAGAGAAATTATGTCAGAGAATGAAAGACTGTGATAGATAACCAGGCGGGTATCAGATAAATCTTGTCCCGGTATAAGTCATAAATACGTCAACAGTCAGTCACAGTACCACTGCACTCCAATGTGAAATCTGATTAATATTTCATAAAATACAAAAGCATATATGTATATATTCTGAAGTGCTTCGATTTCAGTAGAATTGGCGAAACAATTCAGTCTTCTTTCGGCTCCGTAATATGTCCCATGAATAATGGTACACTGTTATTCCACACAATCGATATGAAGAATGGATGGTCAACACGAAAGATGGGGACAGGTTTAACTGGACGTGCCATTGAGCATCTCAGCATAACTACTGCCGTACCTGCAGCAGCAACTGCGCCTTTCTCATCCACCTGTAACACGCAGAAAACAATTTGAAACATCGTGAGTATCATTAAGTGCATATCAATTGTAACTATTGATAGTAGTATTCACTATCTACCACATATTTATCTCTCCCTCTCTCTTTCCCCTATCAGTGAAATAACATTTGTCAAATGTTATAATCAAACAAAGAGTAAAACACTCCTACACCCATGACGAAAATAACAAAAGGATACTTATATTGTGCATCGGGCAACTAGTTAATGTGTCATAGTCCTGTGATCCATTGATCATGAATAAAGTTTACGACATTCGACATTATGTCGAATAATTTCCTTTGTATACACGTTTTCTTCCGCTGTCTTAATTCCGTGAAAACCTTTACTTCAAAACGATGACTTCTAAAACTTGGGTAAAAAACATGAATTACCTATGAATACTACCTCTACATGACATCAACCAACTTATATCCACATTCAAAGCACTTTATTCCACTCAACTTTATTTTCAACGTGTAGTGTGTAAGCTGTTGCTTGATTTGGATATGTGAAATGTCTTCATGGATATGTTCCCGAACCCTGGTGAGTGTGTGCTGTTGAAGGGCTCCAAACTGGGACGAAACAGCCATCCAGTACTCCCTACAGGTTTTCTATTGGTTCTATAATCGATGTCGAGTCATGACGAAATCCTATAACCAGTCAAATCTCTGCAAACCAACACTCGAATACAAATAAAATATTTCATACATTTGGGGCCCTTGATAAATTTCGATAAAGAAAGGAAGACGAAATTTACAGTATAAAATGATATCATTCTATTTCACAGGTTCTCATCAGCTGCAGACTACCTGAAATAACAATGGTTATATAGTTGATAATAACACTTTAATGTTTGAGTGGTAGCAAAGAAGAGAAACGCATCCCAAATGGAAGCATTACAGTGTTTAGTTTAAGTTCTCATCATCAATTTCTACGCTTTTAAAGTTGAAAAGAGGGAGAGTTACCAAGGGAGTCAGAGGTTAATCACACTCTCTTTCTGTATAGATAGGTCTGGTTTAAACCGTTTGATTGCTATCGCTTCAGCGAATCGTAATAAATTTGCTGTCCTTTGATTTTGATTGCATTAATTAGTCATCTAATTCAGTGATCTCAACACAGCGAACAAATCCTAATCTCATAAAATGTAACCGCTTTTGTTTTTTGAGTTGCTGTGTGAACCTGCAAGCTAACACTGTCCTGTTAATTAATTTTTTCTGTTTTCTGTCTTACCCCTCACCCCTCTTTTCAACTTTAAAAGCGTAGAAATTGATGATGAGAACTTAAACTAAACACTGTAATGCTTCCATTTTGGATGCGTTTCTCTTCTTTGTTACCACTCAAACATTAAAGTGTTATTATCAACTATATAACCATTGTTATTTCAGGTAGTCTGCAGCTGATGAGAACCTGTGAAATAGAATGATATCATTTTATACTGTAAATTTCGTCTTCCTTTCCTCATCGATAAAAATAAAACAATTTAGTAGTTATGTTGCCTCTTATTTTCGAACAGGTATGCAAATGTATTAAAGTCTATTCAGTGGATTCTCAATCAGGATTATTTTATTCTCTCATCTTTCCGGTATCCTACATGTAATCCCAATCTACCTCCCTACCTTCACCATACTGCCACTGCATTCTGTACAGCAACTAACTCGTGTCAGCATTGAGTAGTAGCACTAAGGAAAATCTGAGACAAGAAACGATACACATAAAAGAAGCCTTGAAACTTAATAATTATCCAGATAAATCAGTCAGGAAATATGTAAGGAAATGTAAAAATAAAATAAATAATGATAGTAGCGATAGTGATAATAATATTAATGACGACACCAACAATAAGGAATCTAAATCATCAGTAGTAATTCTATACAAGGAAGGAACCTCGGAAACCTTACGCAAAATTCTTAACAAGGCAGGAATAAAAGTGGCATTCAAACCCACAAACTCAATTATAAACAAGCTTTATCGGTTATAGGATCCTGTAGAGCCTTTAAAACAAAACAATTTAGTTTATCTAATACCCTGCCTGCAATGATTGTCTGGTCAAATACATAGGTCGAACTAGTAGAACAAAGGGAGTCAGACTAGCTGAACATAAAAACCCTAGCAAAATCTAGACTGGTTGACCCGACAAAGATAAGAAATCTAGAGAATAGTTCAGCTATAGCACTACATGCAGTTACACACAACCATACAATAGGATGGGATAGGATGACAGTTTTAAAATCTAATGTCACAGGGTACATCGAGGGAGAGATTGATAACAGAAGCTTTGTTTATCGAATCAACTGCAAATACATGTAATAGGAATGATTTATCACTTGTCCCTGATATCTGGAAAATTCTACTACGACAAATAGGAGAAAACAAAGAAAACTATAAAACTCAAGTTTCAAAGTCGTGTGATTACAATTGATATGACAATGAACAACAAAATTTGTTCGAAACGTCATCCAGTAAATAATACTGTTTCACTGTGTGATATATCTAATAAACAAACTAATATGGAATTCTTTACAACACAGTCAAGTCAACAAAGAAACAAAGCGATTAAAATTCCTTTCATCTCATAATATGAAAATTGACGCCAATAGGATGCGCTGTACATTCGGTGAACAGAATGAAAATTAAAACATCATTTACTTGGACAATTGGCCGATTAGCCTTTCGCATTCATACAATACACTTCTCAACAAAAGAAAATCAAATGATTTTATCTGCAAACAAGATATTCAATGATGACAATTGCAGCCATAATATTCAATTAGCTTTATGTCTAAACATAAATCTCTGTAAATCACATCGACTGAAGAACATGTTACTATTAGAATCTCCAGTAACACGTTTTACACCATCAATGAGAGGTTGACAAAGATGGCTACCTACAGACAACACTCATATTGAATATTTGCGAAATTTCAATCACTTGCTTCCAAGGAAACACCTGCTTCTCACCATCTTTCAGTGTTGATTTCATAGGAAAAGAGAGATTGCAACTAATCAACTACCTCTTATCAAATACTCTTTCAATGTAACTCCCTCTGTCCGTTAGTATACGGTACTGAAAAAGGTGTTAAGCAGTTATTCACTTTTCCTAGCTATTTAGAAACTGAGGGTGCATTACGTAGCTTGCTATACTAGACAATAAAGGATATTAATTTATGTCATGGCTGTATAGTACACCAGAAAATACTATAGGGATTGGGAACATCTTTGAATCCACATCCTCGTATTACCGTTTCGAAGGTGGTCGCAAGTGAATTCGACGACACGACTTATGTCCGTATTAAAAATTGCTTCAGTGAAAATCAGTTCGTCATATACAGACCACATTATCACACTTATTACAGAATACCGATCTACTTCCAGTCTTCCAACTGACGTCTCCCAAGTACGTGACAAAAGGGCTGGGCTACAAATCATTATAATTTATTACACGGATATCGACGACATCCAATAAAATTTGATAGTAAAATTAGACTCAAGCAGCTGACTTGTCAGTAGTGATCAGTCTATACGGTGGTAGGATAATATAACACAAAACTCCCATACACGACCAGTAATTAAATAGAATACCACTCAACAAACATAACAGTCTACTAATAATGCTGATTAAGTCTATTGTCCTCAAAATTCCGTGTTTGTGCGTTTCATAAGTGTTCTACATAATCTACGATACATAACTGTCTCAGTAATTATGTTACATTTATACAACGTTAATCAGAAGCTTAAGACGATACTACGGCCAGCACATGTATTCGCCATGTGGTGTAATTACCTTATCATAAACTAAAAGTCGTTACTTCTTTGGCATTTAGTTGAGTACTATATACCAGCGACCAAACAAAGACAAATCTATTGCAGTAGGATAGTGTATATTTACTTTTGTCATTTGTTACGCTTTCACAACCAATACAACACAATTTAAATAATGCACATCATACTTTTTCACTTTCACGAAGTTAGGAAACAACAGTACCGAATTAGTCGAAACCAGGTAAAATTATAAAAAGAGATTATCAAACAAATTAGAGAAATTATGTCAGAGAATGAAAGACTGTGATAGATAACCAGGCGGGTATCAGATAAATCTTGTCCCGGTATAAGTCATAAATACGTCAACAGTCAGTCACAGTACCACTGCACTCCAATGTGAAGTCTGATTAATATTTCATAAAATACAAAAGCATATATATATTCTGAAGTGCTTCGATTTCAGTAGAATTGGGGAAACAATTCAGTCTTCTTTCGGCTCCGTAATATGTCCCATGAATAATGGTACACTGTTATTCCACACAATCGATATGAAGAATGGATGGTCAACACGAAAGATGGGGACATGTTTAATAGGGACAGCTATTGACATGACAGATATCTGAATTGCGGTACCTGCGGCAGCAACTGCGCCTTTCTCATCCACCTGTAACACATACAGAAAATAGGTCAATATATTTTCCTGTAGGCAGTGATAACATTGGAGCACTGTATATTGTGATGCACTGTCTGAACTTATGTCTTCATTTTACCATGAGATTTCGTATAAACAATTGAAAAGCACAACTTGCTACTAAATTGCGTTCGTTCTACCTCCCACAACAAGTCGCAACATTATACAAAAGCGGAACAACAATGCAGTGAACGGACTTCAGTACCAAAGTGTGCAAAACAATTTGAGAAAGTTAATTCCAGAATTTTGAAAATTTCGAGTAATACGAGTAGTAAACACTCACATACTATTATGTACTCGTCGCCAAATTATTGCTATGTACTGGTCGAGAATTTAATAGTCCTGACGCAAGAAAGACGGAAATTAGAAGACCACTGGGTTTGCGATGATACTTCTATTTTCCAAACACAAGGAGAATCAATGTGTCACACAAGAGTGTAAGAGCAAATATATATATATATATATATATATATATATATATATATATATATATGAATGTCCGAACAAGTGTGTGAACACAAGTGTGAGAGCGAATATTCAAAATGAACAAATCAATAGACAGTCTTAACATGATTGGCTGCGTCGGTGGCACAGTGGTTAGGACTCTCGCCGACCATGCACATGGTCCGGGGTTCGAGCCCACGCCGGCGCACACCTGATATCTATGGTCGGCCTGTTAAATTTGGGCTACCGATATCCATGCTGAAAATTCCATACTTGTACCAAAAATACAGTGTGGAATCAAGCTGTAAATCTAAAAATCTAAAAAACAATTATAATGGAATATCGATCCATATATACATAGCAAAATATATCAGACTGTCAAACAAACACACATGTTATATGGATATATATGTCACATACCACTGTGATCACTTTCGACGATATTATCATAGATGTATAACTACTGATTTCGAGCATATCTAACGACGTGGAATTTTATTGTCTATTGCCACTTTCTTCTTTTTTATAACCAACTTTTCATGCTTTGTTTACTGCATATACGACACACACTGAAACAGTAGTATTTATTGGCAGATAATTTTATGGATAGGTGTTCAAATTGAGCTATCGAAACATTCAGTTCTACACCCAAAGTATGCTGGAGGTATCTAGGTGATACATTCACAGTATTAAAAGCACCCAATATAAATAAGTTTTTCGATGACGTCAACTCAGTGGCAGATGCAATTCAATTCACTTATGAGTAGGAAAGCCAAGAAGTCAACTCTAAGTGTTGACTTGTGCCGTAAAAAAGAAACAAAACAGGAAGTTAAACACTAGTGATGTTTGAAGGAAACCAACTGTCAAAGATTTCATGGACTGATACAAGATTTTGGTTTGCCTACCACTAACTGCTTTCCAACCTAATCCCATGTCCGCTAACACAGCTCACCCAGGAAGATGGTAGTTTGGCATGCGAAACAAGCGTCCTTAAAATGTCAGTCAATGTAGCCTCATAACCTTATCGATTAACTTATCCTCCTTAATACATTAGGCCCAACTTCAGTACTGCTCACCATATTACACCACTTAACTTCTTAACTCACAATTTCATCAATAAACATTCGGTCAGAAACAACTGATGGCACCAATTTAATCAAACGCGTGAGTCGCAAATCATCTCTATTATTTCAACATCATTTTATTTTTCACAGACTCAAAACTCATGTCCTAATTTTGCAAGATTCCCTATTAATACCTTTGAAAGACCTTGCATTTTTATTAGCTTTTTCAACCGACTATCCTTTATGAGTCCCTTTTACCGACGATCTTAATGACAACGGCTTCCAAAGTCTCGGTTAGCTCACCATCTGAACACTAACAGTAAGAAACGTCGTACTGTACAGTCTTTAACTCCAGACAAACATTATCAACTATGTAAATGGCATTACATTGGAGAAGAATTCTATACCGTATTATTCTTGGTCATAAACCACTGGAAAAGAATATCACCTAGTACCTTTTCCAAAACAATAATCAATATGCAGAAGACAAGCAGGTACATAGAAGTGCTAACACGTGAGTGAACTTTCATTAGGTAAATTTACTACTTAGAGTTATCTGTAATAGTTTCATGCCAATTGACGCTTTATAGTTTGAATAACTCATTCACCAAGTTTGTTATCTTTCGTCTTTTCATTTCCTTTGCCTTATCATTCTTCACGTATATTTTCAGTCATACCTATGGATGAGTGATTAAATGCTCACGTAGATACCTAATCTTTACGAAGTCATGTGTTCAAACTACAGAAGAGTTGTAAAGAGGATTAAAATAATAATGCTTCTCCTGAGAGACGTGGCTTACAGAATTTTCAATTAACAGATCTCACGTTAAAAAACCATTTAGGCTGATTTCATCGAAGCTATTGGATACTACCACAAAGATGTACGCATAACTTCTGGTCAGGAACCTGGGACAAAAAATTGTACCAACTACCTGAGTTACATTATTATTTAATTAATTCTCAGTGCGATGGCCTAACGAAACCCACCTTCGTATAACCCCCTAAATTGTTCTGTTTGCTCCAGACTATGAGAGGTAGCTAGAAATTTTCTACATCCTACAAAGTATTACACATTATTCATCTCAAAATGTCTAAAAGTTTGCTTGAATGGTGGGAAGCTTGTCAAAAATTTACCAAGTGGTTACAGCGAACATAAACCACAAGTCAAGTTCATGTTAACAAATTCAGCTGAAAATTTTTATAATTAATAAAAATCTACGTGAACTCTTATCAATGGTAATAAAGTCAACATATCCCAATTACTGAACACGGGAATTTCATTTTCTAAATAGTCACATGCAGCCGGGTGATACAGATTGACATGTCAGCAACATTATCGTATGCAACCGAATTTCAATAAGCAAAATTACATCGACAAGATATATCGATTTATAAAGTTTGGAGTCACAGTTAGAAACATCATGTCCAAATCGAAGTGCACTGAAATAAAGACGATGTAACACCTACCAAAACAGGATGTGATAAACAGCAAAACCAACAAACGGAGATTAATATGATAAAGGGTTAATTGCGAATACAACAGTATCACTGTAACTTATTTCACAATGTACACTCGATTATTTCAGTACACACTTATTAAGTAAGCCAACAGCAGCGACTTACCAATATAAACCTCAAAAACAAATCATCGAATGTAACTTGAGAAAAGCGAAACATTTATCCTTTTAACTCACCTCAAGTATAGCCTTGTGAAGGACATCTGACACACACAATCTACATGATTCTGAAATTCTCGTAAAGTCAGCTGACGACGGACAGAATGCGTCATTTATCCCCATCCCCTGTAAAATCTTCTTAACACTGACACTGCTACCTTCCTTTAGCTTGAATCTCGGCAAATACAATTCCAACTTAGTTTCCTCAAAGTTGTTTGAAGAAATAATAGATGACAACGTATTACCTTTCGACAGTAACCGCAATAAATTCGGTAGACCATCATTTGCATCAGGAAGGATGACCAACAAAGTAAACCTACGACATTAGAAGTATGAATAATAAAGCGTGTATTACAGGTGCATAAAAATATATCTACTTCGGAAATACGATTAACATGAATAATCATAAACAAAATATGTAAAATTCAATCAAAACTGAATAAATAATGTTGCTTCTAACCATAGTTAACCAAAAAAGAGCAGACGAACCCCGGTGGGTGCGTACTGACGAGGAGTCCCAAACTAGGACGGAACAGATATCCATTACTTCCAGGTTTTCCAATGGTTCTCTAACCAGTGTCATCTTATGATAAAATCCTGTAACCAAACGAGCAAACCAGCTGATAGGGCACTCAAACGCATAGCTTGAATAATGTCCACCCTAGATGTTATGCTTGTCAGTGTCACGTAGGATTTCATCTGGTCGCCATAATTAATTTACCTTCACCCAATGCAACAAATTATATACAAAAGCCAATGCAAATTTCCAACGAAACTAATAAACACTTCACGACGATAAAATTCATATTATCATATGACAGAAAGAATGGACAAGCGCTTTCATATTTGCTATTTGAACTTTTTGTTTAATTTCTTACTGTAATCAATATTTGTATTACGTGATACCCTCTTATTAATCGTCCTACTTTCATCCTTGATTGGAAATAATTCTGAAACTGTACTACCGTTTAGTTACATATTCAGGAGTTTTTAGCCTCGATAACTTCGTCAGAAACTGTCTTTTCTTCGCTGCAACCATCTGTTTCTTAGCTCACCGACTCAAGGAACCAAATCAAACTTTTAAATTCAACGAACGTTCACGGTAAATTTTATTTCACTCATATACGAGACTACTCATAGTATCAGTGGTGAAATCTTACAGCACAATCGTGATACAAACTGAGAAACAGAAAAGAATAACCCTGTGGCCATATATCGTCCACCTAAACATAATAGCCATAGCTAAGCCAATTTTATAGGGTAGTGTGAAAGTTCGACTTGAGTAAGCTTCCCATTTTTTTGCGACACATACAGAACATATGAAATCTGTAGATCAGCAGGAATATACCAGGCTGAATATAGTCATCTCTGTAATGAAAGTTTACAACACTACGGCCTACTGCAGCGATTGTGTTGTTGTTCTAGCCTCAGACACCACTGAAATAGTTACTACAGTTCTAATTTCCTGTGAAATATATGCTTTGTCACTAACTACACAGGCACGATTCGTGTAAATCATAGAATGCGTGAACTTTCAATATTATCCCAAGTTTTATTGCCAAGATATTAATCAAAAACGGTAACCCTTAAAACTAAAGAAGCATTGACATTTTCACCCACATCACATATTATTAATATCTCTAGCATACCCACTCACAACACTTTGCCAACTTAACAACTTCGTCGGTACACATGAAATAAATTATCTCTACTCACATGGAATCCTTGAAGGGTATCCTGACAGCACGTGAGTTCAAATGGGGCAAAGTGATTATGTTGAAAGATGATTCAGTAAACATTAATTTAACTGTCATTTTCGATCCATCCAATTTATGAAAATCACTGTCATGTGACTTGAACTCCGGGAAAGCTGACTCCCACTCGCCTGATGAAATGAAACCAATGTATATGTTAACAATAAAAGCAACAATGATAAAACATCAAAGCTTGGACATATTCAAGTGTGGGTAACTAACGTTATCTCTCACCAATGTAAATGTACCTTTAAAGTATGTAGTAGCTGTTACCACAATGGACGTGTCTCTAGCTACAGAACCAAATGGAAGAAGTTCTTCAATTTTTCCCTTGGTTTTCTCGCTCACCCACTGATTAATTCTTTTTCGACAAACCTCGGGATCTGTTTCAAATGGTACCTTACAAAGAAATCGGTTTTATACGGTGTAGACATACATGTTCAGTCTCCGCACTGTAATACTCTGCCAAATTTTGCTTGAAATCCTCTTTGACACCAGCACAAACTGTAGTAAATAGTTTGTTTCCAAGGATCATCTCGACGCCAACTTCCGCTTGGGAACACCTTTCTAGTAGATCACGGATGCTATCATGGGTCTCAGTATAATTCAAGCTTCCACATAACTGCATCGCTTTTTCCATCTCAACTTTCGTATTTTTTTCACATCCGGACAGAACCATCCCGAGGGCAGTATATATATTGAAGGGAGAAAAGAATGTATTCTCCAACTTTTCTGAATATTTTCACTGTTTATTAAACGACTATCTTACCTGGACATTTTTCCAACATATTACAGTAAAAGTTGTTGGCGAATGATGTAAATGATTTTAATATATTCATCTTCCAAGTAATCACCAGTCGAATTGAAATACAATCAAAATATGTCAAACTGAAAAATAGCATAGGAAGATAAAAGGAGAAACTTAAACAAAGTATTATTCCCATTCGTAGGCATAAATGCACAGTAATTATTGTACACAGAAAATATATATTCTCATATATGAATGGGACAGTAATGTTATCAAAAGAATGTGTTTAAAATAACAGTCAGTTTGTGTTTTCTATCGTCCTCCAGTGAGTCCCCCTAACTATAACACATTGAGCTACCGATTCACAACACAGGGTGAAAATTCTTTCAGACCAATAAATGTGTTCTTGCTTATGAGGATATAGTTCAAACTGCCGTCATCTGCAAACCACAACTATGCCCTTTATAGAAATCCCCTAAGAACCACTCGGTTTTCAAAAGTTGCTTGGGAAGCCATTTCGCTGCATGGAAAAATGAATTCGTCCAGTTGCTAATTTAAATTATAGGTGAATTTGGGTTTCCAGCATTCTTTTACTGTTATTTGAATGAGTATATATACTCAATTGAATACAGCAAACTGTTGGTAACAGTTCTTACTAAGAGAATGCTGTTACAAAACTCCAGATACGTAACTCAGATTCGTGAACACCGCCACCGTAATTTCCTTGACTAGTTTAGTAACACACATGGTGTTTCTGATCAAAATAACAACTCTATTGTCTGCAACAGTCACACTCACCAAGTGAAATTACTGGATTGAATTACCGCGATTTTTGGGTGAGTATATAGGTCATCCTAACAACGACGCGGTTAACTTAGGTTCTTGGTTCAAGTACTGACTATCTTAAATTCTGTCTTGATATATGCTGTCCAAAACAGATAATTTTCAAAAGAATGGATCGTTTTTCTTCCCCTCATCTCAAAAAACTTCGTAGAGAAAAAGAGAAGCTGTACAAGACAAAGAATAAATCTGGTCTTAAGAAGATAAACACCCAAATTAAATCTGAAATCAAGAGACTAAACAACATTTATAATCAAACAATACTATCTTGTAAAACATCAGAAAACATATGGAAACTTTTTAGAGAAATTACTGGTTGTGGTAAGCATAATAATTTTGCCTCTTCTATTGATGTAAACACTCTCAATAGATCTTTCATCCGCCCTCCAAATGTCCTTTCTGCCTTCAATTTAACTAATAACACGACCAGTGACTTTCATCGTTTCAATACTTCTGATGTTCTTAAATGTTTGAAATCTCTTAAACCTTCCCAGAGTCTAGGCCCTGATGGTATACCTGCCATTGTTTTAAAGAAATGTGCTGATATTTTAAGTAACCCACTTACAAGCATTCTCAATACTTCTTTTTCTAATAATAATGTACCTTCTCTGTGGAAAGATATTAAAATCATCCCTGTACCCAAGTCTGGTTCTGGAGATAGTGTTAAGTTTAGACCAATTGCCATTACCTCTCCTTTCTTGAAACTGATGGAGAAATTACTTTTACAAAAACTCATTCCCTCCCTAAGCTTCTCAAATGATCCAAAGCAGTTTGCTTACAAACAGGGTAGAAGTACTTTGGATGCTGCTGCTGTGTTTCATCACAACATTGTATCCTCCTTAGACAAAGGGGCCAAGTATGTCCGTTGTACTTTCCTTGATTACACATCTGCTTTTGACTCTGTACCTAGAGGCCTTTTGTTAAACAAGCTTAGCCTTACACAAACTGAGTCCTGGGCTATCAACTGGCTGCACTCTTACTTCTCCAATAGGATGCAGTACACGGTATATAATGGTGTAGCTTCCTCTCCTTTGCTTACTGAAGCTGGTGTTCCTCAGGGTGCTGTTCTCTCGCCGTTTCTCTTTTCCTTCTTCTTACATGACTTACCTCTCTCAGACGAAATCAACTTCGTCAAATATGCAGATGACCTGACTGTTTCGCTTCCCGTTAAGTCTCAGTCAGACTGCTTCAAATTAAATAGCTTCCTGTCGGACATCAGTCAGTGGTCTAAAATAAATGGCCTAACGCTGAATCCCTCAAAATGCCAGACTGTCGACTTCTCCTTTAGGCATAAACGAGATCTACAAACACTAGTAAGCACTCATGATGTCTGTAGAATCGAGGGGACTATAATTGAAACAAAGTCTAATGCAAAATACCTCGGATTAGTTATATCTTCCGACCTTACTTGGTCATCTCATATCCAAATGATTTCCAAGAAAGTGTTTCGTCTAACCTACTACATTAAGAAACTCAGACTAACTGGAGTCCCTCAACCTCTGCTTACACAATTTGTCAACTCTCGTATCCTACCTATTCTACTTTACTGTTCCCCGTTAGTCTTTCCTGGGTTACTGAAAAAGGATTATACCATCCTGAGAAGGATGTTGAAGGTAGTTAGCAGGACTAGCGGTGTAAAACTCAGTCAGCTCGTCACAACATTAGTGGATAAGCATCTGAATACATGTGAGAAATGGTCTAAAACCATACTCTCTGACCCCCAACACCCCCTCTATTCCCAACTTTCTCCCTGCATCTCATCAGGTAGAACCAGAAATCAGTATAAAATAATATATGCTCGCACAACCAAGTATAGGAACTCAACGATACCATATTTGGCCCGTGTTCTAAGTGACAGAGACAATGTTAGGCGTGAAACCTATGACTTGCTTTGTTGTTAATAACATAATTTTGGCCCTTGTTTTTTCCCCCTTGCACTCTCTTATTTGTACTTTATAGTGAACAACCTTCTTAAACATACTTAGCTGCTTAAAATTATTATCATTGGCTTACATTTTTATTCTTTATTCTATTCCTTCTTTGTACATCTACTGGGTCCGACTATATTATCACTATGATTATTAAAAATTGTCCCGTCTTTAACCATCATGTAACATTAGTTTTGTGGTTGTTCTTTGTTCGGCACTATTTAACTGACAATCTTGTTTGTTATTGCCACTATCACCATCTTAAAAATTTTGTATCATGCATGATTCCTCACACTGCCACTACAAACAACCGCATTAGTACTGACAAAAAAGAAAACAAACCTGAAATGTTTATCTTATGATTGCTTAGTGTTGTTCAATCAAATTAACTGATCATCTTGGCCATAAACATTTTTTTTTAAGAACATCTCATAATTTCGCGTATGATTATAGCTGTTACTGTTCACCACGCATAAACATATCGTAGCTTCCACTAACTAATACTGAAATATTTTTTTTTCATTATTTGTGTTGATCTTCTTTTTTTTACTCAATATTTTTATTTGCAATTTTTTTTGGTTATTTCTGTTTCTTTTGTTTGGTTTTTATAATACTCCTTTTAAATGTACGATGAAATTAGATGCAATATTGTAGATATGTGCTGAAAATTCCACAATGTACCACAAGTACTGTTTCTGGAATAAAGCGAAATTGTTATGTTATGTTATGTTATGTTATGTTACTGACGGCAGCCTGTAGACGGCCGTAATTTTGAGTGACCGCGAATGAGATAAACAAGCGATTTGCTCGCTCTTGATTGGCCAGTTTGTCATTCTAGTTGAGGTAATTTCAAACATCATTTTGCTGCTTGGTTAAGTACTGAATTTCCGGGATCGTTTTATCAAATTTGAGAGATAACTGACAACACAAACTATTACAGCTCAGGAAAGAAATGATATACCAGTGGATTTATTTGCTGAATTCAACGAATTCATGCCAAATTAAGATCTAAGGACTTCTTAGAGGTGTGAAGAATGCAAACAATGTTCTGAAGAAGTAATAACTTCACGCAACTTCAATTATTGCTTGACCATTATTTTCAGAGATCCTTAAATAAGTATGATATACACAGTGGTCTGGCTAATCATGATCAAAATGGCATGGTTCATGCAGCATATACATATACTCATGTATATGTAGGTAAACCTAGATAAACTGTGTTCTTGTCACGAAAATCGGAAAGCAGGTATCAGATGTCTCAGTAAGCAGTGTATTACATGTAAGTTACATGTTTTTATTTGACACAAGCTGGATCTTCACTCACTTTCAGAATTAATCTTGAATTCAGTTGGAATAAGCTTGTTGAGCACGTCAGTATTGAGAGAATACAGTGAAAGTAAGTAAACACATGCTTCTTAAGATTAAGTGATACATTTATTTGACATGATTGTATAATTATTAGTTGTCTATCTAAGTTATTGATGAATTCGTTGCGATGATAATACCTATTATTGTTTTTATAGTCACTATGAACATGAATGTCATTATTATTGCTGTCAATACCTATTATTTGTCATAAAGTGGTTGTCATTTTTGCTAAAATATTTGTACAAGCTTTGAAAACTACTGCGTAACTTGTTGTTAGATAATTTTATCATTTCATGATGCTTCAATGGACCTACTGGATATCGACCAGCGATAGGTTGCAAAGTCCCTTAAGTTTAGTGAAAACTATTGGGCTACTTATATGTACATATATATATTTGTTTGTAAAGTGATTACTTGTAAATGCTTATCAGGAAAAATTTTTTATTCAGATCATGCATGTAATACCCAAGTTAATTATGCTTTTCTTAAACCTTTTCAGACTTATGGAAAAACATATATGTGCCGTGTTCTCAGATGGAACTTACTGACGGTAACAAAGGACTACTCATCTGAATTGTCTGTACATTTGAAATCTGATTTTTGTTTAATAAACAATTTTTCAATGAATCTGTCTTCCTTCTGTTGTAATGCGATTGTGTTCCAGTAACATAAGTAACTCGTGCTAAGTTAGGAGTTGAGGGTAAACTGTTAGGAGTAAATGCGGTGTCTGGAAAACTTTTGTTTACGTGGTTATAGGAGCAGATAGCAACGCATCGTGTTCCGTGGGTGAGAGCCCTAGGCATTCTGTTTTTAATTATTACGATAACCGTAGTTGCACTGAATTATACATCTAACAGCATAGGTATAGTCTCTCCTTATGTTACATTGCGACATGCAGAAATCACAAGCAAACTATCACAGGTAAATTTATTCTCACTTTGTGACTATGAATCGGGAATCAGTTTACGTATTCTGCTATGACGATATATAACTCGAAACGCTTTATAATCGCAACACCTTCTCTACGGTTTAGACATATTTACTTTATCTGACCACAACATAATCTTTTACCAATAGACTTTTCCAAATATCTGCTCCTACTTAGTATTTCAAAGATAGCCGCATATACTCTATACCTCACATATTACGCAAAGGCTAATATTCGGTCTTATCAAGTAGAATAAACAAACGATTAACGAGGAATACATTTATTAATGAATTAACATGTAATACAAAATCGACAACAGTGCAGGTATCTTTTTCTTTATCAACGAAATCCTTGAAATTCCCGAAAGTAGATATTATCTGAAAAAGGACATAAGATATATACAGATATAGACATTGTTATCAGTGTTGACACAATAACTAACCATTAAATATGTTTAAAATGACGAAATAATTACTTGAATTGTATATAATTATGTAAGTCCACAGTCTTCAAAAATATAAAATCCATATTGCATCTGCCTGCAAACATCAAGTTTATGCCATAAAAAAAGGAATTACTTTGCGTATATAATTTCTAAGTATTTCTGCAGATTTTTCCTAAAGAAATACATATGGAGTAGCCTTGTCAGCATTACGAAAATTAAACAAGCAAGTAAATGATATAATTACCTAAACGAGTTATCCCACCTCGTCATGTCCATGTGTAATC